TCATCCTAATGGGTGTGAGTTGGTATCTCATTGTGGTTTTGATTTACATTTCCCTAAAGGCTAGCGATGTTGAGCATCTTTCATGTGCTTATTAGCCAATCATATATCTTATTTGGAGAAATGTCTATTTAAGTTCTTTGTACTTTTTTTTTTTTTTTGAGGAATATTAGCCCTCAGCTAACATCTGCCACCAATCCTCCTCTTTTTGCTGAGGAAGACTGGCCCTGAGCTAACATCTGTGCCCGTCTTCCTCTATTGTATATGTGGGATGCCTGTCACAGCATATGGCTCGTCAGGTGGTGCTAGGTCTGCGCCAGGGATCTGAACCCGTGAACCCCGGGCTGCTGAAGTGGAGCATGTGAACTTAACCGCTACACCTCCGGGCCCGCCTCCTTTGTCCATTTTTTAATTGGGTTGTTTGGTTTGTTGTTGTTGAGTTGTAGGAGCTCTTTAAATATTCTAGATGTTAATACCTTATCAGGTATATGATTTGCAAATGTTGTCTCCTGTTCTGTGGCTTATCTTTTCACTCTCTTGATAGTGTCCTTTGAAGCAGAAAAGTTTTTAATTTTGATGAAATCCAATTTATCTGTTTTTTGTTTTTTTCTTTTGTTGCTTGTGCTTTTTCTGTCACTTCCAAGAAATCATTGCCAAATTCAATACAATGAAGATTTTCCCCTATGTTTTCTTCTAAGAGTTTTATAGTTTTAGCTCTTGTGTTTAGGTTTTTGATCTGTTTGGAGTTAATTTTTGTCTGTGGTGTAAGGTAAGGGTCCAACTTCTTTTTCATGTGGATATCCAGTCTTCTCAACACATTGAAAAGACTGCCCTTTCCCCACTGAATGGTCTTGGCATTCTTATCAAAAATCATTTGACCGTATATGTGGGGAGAGCACTTTTTATTTATTTATTTATTTTGAGGAAGATTAACTGTGAGCTGGCATCTGCTGCCAATTGTCCTCTTTTTGCTGAGGAAGATCGGCCCTGAGCTAACATCTGTGTCCATCTTCCTCTATTTTATATGTGGGACGCCTACCACAGCATGGCTGGATGAGTGTGCGTACATCCGCACTAGGGATCCAAACCAAGGAACCCCGGGTCACCGAAGCAGAATGTGGGAACTTAACCACTGTGCCACTCGGCCGGCCCCAGCACTTTTTTTTTTTTAATGAAACATACAACAGTGTAAACTTTTGTCTGTGTTTCAGTTTTCTGTGTGTGTGTGTGTGTGTGTGTGAGTGAGGGAGATTGTCCCTGAGCTAACATGTGTTCTAGTTTTCCTCTATTTTGTATATGGGTGGTCGCTGCAGCATGGCTTAATGAGCAGTGAATAGGTCCCGGCCTGGGATCCGAACCCACGAACCCTGGCCACCAAACGGTAGCATGTGCACTTAACCACTACACCACTGGGCTGGCCCCCCAATCTTCCTCGTTTTGCTTGAGGAAGATTGTCCCTGAGCTGCCATCTGTGCCAGTCTTCCTCTATTTTGTATGTAGGATGCCACCACAGCATGGCTTGAAGCAGATCACACGAACTTAACTGCTACACCACTGGACCGGCCCGTTAATATTTCTTCTTAAAGATAAGGGGCTGACCCAATGGCACAGTGGTTGAGTTTGCAGTTGCCAGTGTTTATGTTCTTTACTTTCCATTGCCAGTCATAAAAGCATTCAAATGTAAGCCAGATACTTTTTTTGTGAATAAATGTCATGTAATACTATTAGTTGTATCAGTAAAATTACTAAAATGAATCCTTTTTTCCCCTAATATCGCAGGCTGTTTTCAACATGGGTAAATTTGTTTACAAAGTAGTCCTAATATAATAGCTACCTTTGATTTTTTATCTCTTTTCTGCTTACACATTCTCTGAATATTTGCTTTATAATAGGGATAATGGCCACTGGGCAAAGGACAAATGATAATGGAGTCAGCTGTGTAGGTTAAAGCTTAACGGATAGAGCCTGCTGTGTCAGGGAGCTCTTAAGAGTCGGTTACTTCGGCAGACCCTGAGGTGATTGTGATTCTTTCAATGTTGGGAACGTTTGTTTGGTTTGACAGTTGTGAAAAGGAATCAAATTCAGGTAATTACTATTGTTATGACATAATTGTCATGGCATTGTGGTAGGGGACCAAAGTAAGTGACTACATGAAGATTCCTTTATTTCCTAAGTTTTTTTTATCCACCCCATCAATTTTTCCTTGAGATGAATAGAGTAATAGTATTATCTAGGCTACTCTGTGTTTCTTGAAGAATGAGTTTATTTCCACTTGAATTTCCAGTTCATTAAGTACTAAATCTATTTGCTTCTTTAAGACTCTGAAGAGGACAGTCAAAACATTTCATTTATTTGGGAGAACTTATGTGGAAGTGTCTGACCTACAGGGTACACTAGAGTTTGCACACCGGTGGCCCGTGGGCCCAACTCAGACCACCATAGTTTGTCTCAAGTAGAGTTTGTTGGTTTTTTCAAATTGAGTCAGAAGTTGAAAATTGGGAGATTACAAGTAAAAATCTAGGGCTGACTGTTATCACGAAATTGGCCACATTTGGCTGTCATTTCCACAGGGAAGTCAGCTGTGGCTGCGTAGCTACTGTGAGACTCGCACCAACACTTTTCACACTTTCACACAGCCCATTGCACACGATAACTGACGTGCCTGACCCTGCTGTGAGTTTTTGGAACATATTACCTGCATCTGAGTCTCAGAAAGTTTGTCTGGTAAACTTTATAGAACCTTGATATAGTCCTTATAAAAATGAATTATCTGTATAAGCCTGTATAAATCATACATAGTTTCAAGAAGACTTCCTGGGGTGGGTTAATTGGCTCCTTTTCTGTTCCCCTGTACCTCCTTAGTTATATTACGTTGTTGATCTTCTAAAATTTATTATAAATATCTAATTGTATATCCCTGTAGTGCACTATGAGCTCCCTCAGGCCAAGGACCAAGAGCTGTTGTGGTTTATGTTCTTGGCATCTAGTGCCTGGTACACAGTAGGCATCCAAATGTTTGTTACATTTCTCTAACTTTAGTACAGATATTTAAGTGTGGTGATCTGTTCTTATTTTGGGGGAAAAATTACATATTAGCTTCAATTTTTTTTAAATTACAAGCAGCTCCTTTGATTAAAGAGGATTTTTTGAAGTTATCTCAATAATTTTCAGTTTTCTTCTTTTAAATTGAAAACAATACTCTAAATACAAATTCCTAGTAAATGTACAGATTCTCAGAGGGAAAAAAATTGGAGTTAGGTAATTTTTTTCCGTGTATTTTTAAAATAAACATTCTTCTAATACTCTTAATAATTCTTAAACAAATACATTTCCTAATTGCCATTTAATTTTGCTTTTGCAATGACTTGAAATTGGTAGTTTTTCAAACTCTGTTTCGTTATTTACATATCTAGCCATTTGGGAGTTGATTTTCTTTCATATTGGTAAAAGTGTTGCATAGTGTCCAGCTTTTGTTTTGTTTTGTTTTGTTTTTTTTGAGGAAGATTAGCCATGAGTTAACATCTGCTGCCAATCCTCCTCTTTTTGCTGAGGAAGATTGGCCCTGAGCTAACATCCATGCCCATCTTCTTCTACTTTATATGTGGGATGCCTACCACAGCATGGCGTGCCAAGCGGTGCCATGTCTCCACCCAGGATCCAAACCGGCGAACCCCGGGCTGCCGAAGCGGAACATGCACTCTTAACTGCTGCGCCACTGGGCCGGCCCCTAGCTTTTGTATTTTAAGTAATTAAAATTGAAATAGTTTTTAGAAATTTTCATTATCTTTGTTTAGATCACTTGTGATCTCTTGGGTTAGAGATAAAATTTTTGACTATGTCTGTTATTGTGTTAGGGTTTTCAAATAATTTTGAAAAGTAGAAAGTTCTAGTATCTGTTTATATGAGAATTGGAAAGACTTTTATTTAAAATTTCCTTAACGACAATGTGAATTGTTACCTTTCCTGGTTATAGTCTCAGAGAACCAACATCGCGTAGCCCGAACAACTCTCTAGTTGTTGATGTTGACGTTGATCACGTTTACAGCATAAAAGCGAAGAACTGTTCTTGGGTGGTTGGGTTGGATTTTTAGTTTTCATAGTGATTGGTGGTCGTGGTTTCTCCTAGTTGTAAGGTTTTTAGGACTTTTAGACATTATACTTAGTCATTTCTGCTCTTCTATTATTAGTACCATCTCCCTTTCACAAAAAATTCAGAAGTTAGAGGAGTCTCTCCATGTTTTCAAAAACCTAAATGTCTCTAGGGAAAATGACTCCCTATAAAGTTAAACATAATGCATACCTTAAAAGTGTCAGTATCTTTAAAGGATGTATGTACTTTATGAAAGTAGGATAATATCATTCTTCTTACTGAGGGCAAATATCCACTGACAGAATCAAAATAAAACATTTTCTTTCTATTCCATATTTAGACGTCTGGTTAGATTTTTAGCAGCATGAAGTTGGTTCTTGTCTATATCAAGATGACAAATTTAAGTGTTGGAGGGGTAGAAAAGTAGGTAGGTATTTAGACACAGGCAAATAGACTTAGTTTAAATGGGTACTTAAAAGCCAGATGAGACTGCTCTGGTTTATGCCTTATTTAGTCTGTTCACTTACTCTAGGTCAGTTTTAAACACTTTACCAGCTTCATTCAGTTTCTATCTCATAAACCTGAAATGTGCTAGAGAAAATAAACTAAGACAAAATAAATTTATTTTCCTTTTTTGTCTTTTGACTTAACATTTGAGGATCAGACTTGGCTTGTATTCCAGGCTCAGGGTGCCAGAAAAGTAAATAATGCACAATACTTAGGCTTATCTTCAATACTTGTTATGGCCAATTAGATGAATTTTAGTGATGGTCAGAGGCTTCTAAATAGGAGGGCAGTAACTCCTGTAAATACCAATTTCCAAATGGTGTCTCTCTGTTCCAGCCCATCACAACAGTTTTAAAACCAGTTTTTGTTTTTGTTTTGTTGTGTTGCTTTGTTTTGTTTTTAACAGGAGAGCCAGTGTAACTCCTTCAAGACTGGAGTGACACTCTGCATCTGCGTCTGCCTCGTGTGAGTTCTCATTTTGGCAGCAGCACTCTGCTAGGCTGGAACCTCTGTCGAGGTTTGCCCTTTCTTTTTCTTGAAATCTGTAAACTACTACACAGTGTGTCTTGGTGGCAAAGGTAAAAAGTGCATGAGAATTCTAGACTTCCCTGCAGAAAATTTTTAGCACATTCCAAATGGACTATCTGTGTCCTCTAACATAGGTTCTATCTTATGTGAATAACATCTATTCAAAACAGAGCCCTCAGCTTTCATCCCCACAACATGCAGCCGATATTTTTTGAAGAGCTGTTTTTTCCTTGCAGATTATGAAGTAAAGAATATCTTTAAATGCTGTCAGTAGCTTCAGCTCTCAAAGCTTTGGTTGTTCTCTTTATAGTCTGGTTATGTAACCTGAGAACACTGTGTGCTGCCCTAGTGGCTGAAGCAGTCCACATTTTTGGACTCTGGCCCTTAAAATAACTTCTTCCTTTGTCTCTGGATATTGGGTTAATTAGGATAGGCCTGAGGACTTTCTCGAAGAAGAAATAAGCAGTGAATGTGTCAGGTTGTGTTTACTCTGAAGCTATTGGCTGTGTCTTGGAAAGTCAGTTGTAAGAATTGAGCTTGAAGTTATACATCATTTACTTGCCAATTTTAAGAGAGAAATTGAAATTAGAGCCTTTGCAGCTGTGGAGAGGCACGGAGCTCTACAGTCTGAGGTGTTAGATATGGTTCCCCACAGATGTCGAGGCTGGCTTTGAAGGGCCTGGTGGATTAAAAAAGGAATTTTGCTGTTTATTTATTTGTTTTTCAAGGGATGGTGGTACTTTGTAGGCTTCAGGAATAGTCAGTTTTGCCACCAGCTCAGAACAAATTGTGATGTTCTGAAGGGACACTTAGAACAAAACATCTAAACCCATGCTCTGTGCAGCTACAGTCCTGCTTTTCCAGCCCTGGTTGTACTGTATACATAGTTGTCTAGCAGATGCTTTAGTGACCCACGAGTTCATGTTACTGAAATGATTATCGAGGAAGCTTATGAGAAAATGCCAATAGCTTGTAGGTCTTACTGATTAATATAGAGCTTAGTGAAATAGATAGCGTTGTCAAAATAGAACTTGGACTCTCTTTGCTAAATCCATTCCCACCTGTGCAGTTTATTTTGGACTAGATGAAAGAAATTGGAGAGAGAGTAGTGTGTTTTAACACCAAGCTTTAAATTTTGATGGCCTGTGTGATGCAGACGTTCGTTTTAACAGTGACTGTGGTATAGTACACTATAATGAGCTTTGGGTGAGACGGAGGCAAACCCACATCCTGGCTTCAGCTGATGTTTGTACTTGCTGTGTAACTTAAGGTCAGCAAGTAGGAAAAATATATTGTGTTTTTGGGAAGTACCCTAAACTTAATGAAAGAAAGGAAATTTAAAGTGTTTATTTCTGAAGGTGGAGTTTCTAGAAAGTCACCTCGGATGAACACTTGGGAAGTTCTGCCCTGGAGTAAACACAATGTGGCAAGTGTATAGTGTTGGAGTTTCTGCTCTTCTAGGGTTTGTGCTGGCAAAATAGGGTTTTGAGATTTTCTTTTCCCCTCCCTGTATTTTATTTTCCACTAAAAATTCTGCGTAAATTGATTTGAGTTCATTCCAAATTGTCTCATAGACATAAGTTTTAATCACCATTACTCCATCACTCTATAATTATAGATTCTCTAACTAGGGAAAATTATTCATTTAGGGATGAGCCTGGGTGGGGGTGATTAAGGTTTGAGTTTTGTCTCCCATTGTTAAGATCTATCAGCAAATTATCCTTCTGAAAAATTAGTAATTGAAAATATTTTATATGGGCCACATCTTATTAGAATGCATGTCAAAGGATTATTCAAATTATTTAACTGTACTGGAATTTTGTTTCATTAAATATTGTTTGAAATAAGTGGGGCTTTGTTAAGATTGAGAAGTAATTTTTGTTTTAGGGAAATTTTGTTAAAATGAGATTTGCTTTCACTTGGGGTGAAAACATGAGATGGGGTGAGAGATGTTGTTTTATATTCTCAAAATAATTCAAATTGACATCAATGAATACCATGCTTTCCTGGTTTTGTGATAATACGCCAGCTCTTTCTCTGTTAGTTTGTATTAATATATAGCATTTCCTTCACCACAGTGTACATCATCTAGATTTAAGAATTCCACACTTTAACGCTTCAGAAAGTTATTTGTTGGGGGAAGAGGGAGGATGGGGCTGGAATTGAGGAGAGGAAAAAAATATAGCCAGTTTTGAAAATACTAACCAGGGTTAGCGTTAAATTATTATTACCCTTGAGACAACAAAAGAAATGACGGCCGCTTTTAACATTGTTCTGATGAGACGAGACTCAAGCATTTCCTTAAAGGACCTTAAGAATTTTAGGCTTTTTAAATATGACAAATGTTTATTAAAGGACTTTGAAAGCTTACTTTGCTTTTTAAAAATTTCAGTTTAATTAAAAAGAATAAATACCCTAGTATGTTACAAGTTTTAAAGGTACAGAAGCAGCTACATGAAAGCCTCCTTCCTTCCCCTGTCTCTGAGCACTCAGTTCCCTTCTGGGGAGGCAGGCAGTAGTACTGGCTTTGAAAATGGATTTCCAGAAATGTTCTACAGGATTGCTTTTGGAAAGGGGAAAGTTCAATCATACTTATTAAAATTTATCACTAACTTGCATGGGCAGACTAACTGCAATGAAAAATCAATTTGAGCCACAGGGCATATATTAATTGTAGATAGAAGAATTATAATAATAATAATAGTTGCATTATTATGAGATTATAAGAATGAAATGGATGTTTTTGGGGCCTCATTTGGCATTTAGCAAAATAGCAGGTCTATTTTTTATTTTTGTTTTTAATATGGCTTACCCACTCCTACAGACTGATGGAAGGATGCTTACGTAAGATTTCACTTGGAAGAAACTTGTTTAAAGGAACAGTATTTTCTTTATGCTGAACTGCAGTGATGATTCTAAAAAGTTTTTTCATTATAGAAAATTTCAGACATATACAGTAGTAGAGAGAAACTCCTGTATCCTAAAATCCATTTTATTTCATCTGAAACAAACTCAGTATGCTTCTTTGGCAGATAAGGAGTTATATTATACATCCACTTGCATATTCCCATCCTTCCATAATCATGTCTAATAAAATGAGTCATAATTCTTTAACGTCTAATTCCCAGTTCACGTCCATATTTCCTTAATTATCTTAGACTGTCTTTTTATGGTTGATATTGCAGTAATAGCTTGTAAAATGCAATTTTGATGGCTATAGTATTGTTAGGGCTAATAAGAAAACAAGTGAATCCTGACAAACGGAATTATGCTGATCGGAGAAGGAGTACAAAGCAACTACTAAGCCAAACAGGAATTCCAAAAATAGACTTAAAAAAAAAACTCATTTAAAGGATTCCTACACCAATTAGGCACATGAATGGAGCCTTTAACATATATAGACCTCTCTACCTAGGTTTCTATATACTTATATTCTCATGGGTAATATCATAGATGTTCATATTAGGGGTTTTTTTCCTGCCTTTAGATTGTGGGAATGAAAGAATAGATAAAGGGAAGAAGGGTTGGGATTAGGTTTCCTAAGAATGAAGGAACTATTCTGAATTGTCTGATAATTCATCTTGTTGCTGTCGCTCCTACTATAGTATGACCTATTTCCGCAGACTAACAATTGAGTCCTCTGATTACTCAGGGCAGCACAAAACATGAAGCTTGAGGGAAAAAAGAAAAATGGCAGATTTAGGGAGAGGGACGAATTGGGAAAGAGTAGAAATGCACTCATTCGCCTTCTGTTTTGACTGGCTGTTCCTTTAATGAGCACCTCCTCTTTGTGCAGTGTACAAGTCCCCGGAGTATGAGTCCCTTGGCTTTGAGCTTACTGTGGAGAGATTAGTTTCTATTGGCTATCCTCAGGAGCTGCTCAGCTTTGCTTACGATTCTACATTCCCTACCAGGTAATTTTTCAAAATTCTTTTGGATTAAGACCTCTCCCTCCATCCCGAAAGTTACTAATTCCAGGTGTATCCCTGACCAAAACAGAAAAAAAAAATCAAAATGTTCTTTGGGGTTTTTTTTTGGTTTTTGGTTTCCTTTTTTTTGGTGGTGGTGATTCTAAAATTACCATGGACTTTTCATGTACACCATATCTTTTGTGTTCTTGAATTGAGCTTAGTTTATTGTTAGTGAAGAAGATACATTTGTGGGAAAGAAAGGGTTTTTATTAAAACTGATGGGCAGTAATCACAGATGCTCCTACCTTTGGCTGTTGGAGATCAGTTACATGTTTTGCTGATACACTTACCTTGGTAATCAGGATCCTTCTTGGCAGTTTGCATTTTTGGATTTGATAGGAAAGATTTAAGATTAAGAAAGATGATGTTTATTTGAGATGCCATTGTATGTGTCCTATGTACAACATCTAATAGAAATAAAAGCCAGCTCAGTTGTCCAAGGAAATTAAAAGGCTCTGTTTTAGAATGGAACCAGCTGTATTAAGAGGAATTGTAGTTTACACTGTGTTTGATTAAGCTCTTATTCCTTACAGAAAACAGTTGTGATTATTTTTCTGGACAGTAAATAATTTTTCGTTGCTCTGGGATTAGTTTTTAAGATTATATTCACTCACTTTAGCCTCTAGGGTTATACTGTTTGGGGATATACCTGAATTGCCATAAAGCTTGAATAAGATGAGGTTATTTCACGGTGATTGAGTAATACTATGTAAGATTATCGCCTGTATTACTTTGCATTATTGATAACATCTTCATTTCACATAGGGGACTTGTCTTTGACACACTATATGGAAATCTTTTGAAAGTTGATGCCTATGGAAATCTCTTGGTCTGTGCACATGGATTTAACTTCATAAGGGGGTGAGTACAGAGAACCTTTAGTCTCTTTCTAGTGTTCCCATAGTCACACAATATGTAGATGACATTGTCTCCCTAGATGTAATAAACTTGCCTATTCCCTCATTATTAAAGAGCAATTACTTTTTTATATAAGGCTACTTAACAGTTATTCATTAGGCAGTTAAGACCCACACTGACTTGGAAATATAATTAGCAGTTACATTTTGTTTAAATTAAGTGCCTTCTAATTATATAGCATCCAACAAAGCTAATCTTGAAACTTGCTCAAAAAGAACTATAGTGGCTTTGACTTATTTGAAATTCTAAGATTTGTATTTTCTCCTTTTTAATACAGTTCTCAGGTAGCTGCTCAGAAGAGGTATGTACATAAAAGTGCTTTGAAAAATTTAAAACTGTAGCAGAGTAAATGGCTAAGATTTTTAAAAGTTAATACATTATTTCTTATATTCTAATGAATAGCTTCAGATCTTTGATCATGTGGTTAAAATTTTTTAAAACAGGGGGTTAAAAATGAATGCAAGGTGATAATATTTAAAACAAATGAGGATAAGCTTTATTTTCATAATCAGAATATTTCCACTATTCTCACTAATTTGGACTTTCCACCCTAGTAAACAGCAGATAAAATTTAGTGTGTACAATTTTTTGTGAAACATTCTAATTTTTTCCTTAAAAATCACAACACTGCACTTTGATAATTTCTATAATTGTGGCTTTATGATTATGTTTTCTCTACTATTATACTACCTAATTTACTACCAGCACTGCATTAAGGTCAGAGCGACTCTTAAAACCAAAATAAGTTATGTGTCAGTCTCTTGTGTAACTTTTCCATGTATTATTTATTTTCAATGGCAAAGCAGTATAAACCACACAGTCTACATTTAAATTGTTAAAGAGACAGTGTCGTTTGGTAAACACGTTTTGTGATAAGAGGCACAGGCTAACTGAAACTGTACCAGTTCTTTAAAAATCTGAGGTCATAGCAATGCCCTACTTGGATCTGAAGTATCTGATATATGACTCTTCAGCTGTCATTACACAGACTCAAAGATGCCCAAGTATACTTAGTGAGAACAGTGTGAAATAAACACCCCACCTTGACACATCTGGGCAGGCCATGGTTATATCTACCTTTCTTTCATTGTTCCTCTCATGCGGGGTTTGTTCAAGCTCCACAAATATCAGGAGGCAGGATTTAGAACGTGAAGTGATTGTAGATAGTACTAGCAACATAACTGTTTTATATATGGATATTGTCACTTAAATTCAGAATCCCAATGATGATGAACCAAGGTTCAATTTATTAGTGTCTGACAAGGGGTTTTGTTTATGGAGGGAGGGGTAGTCAGAGAAGAAAAAGAAGAGAAGCAGTTCTATAAATTAGTACTATAATTAGGTTTACTAACTCAAGATCCACAGATCTCCTTTCTTCCCCCAAATAAACCAGTAAAGTTTCCAAATAGCTCGTTTGGAAATACATTTAATAGTATTTAAAAAATAAGTCATTTATGAGTTAATGCAGAATCATTCAAACAGCACTTAGCAGTGTACAATCCTTTTTTCTTAATGCCGTTATATTTATTTGTTTATTTTTTGCTGAGGAAGATTCACCTTGAGCTAACATCTCTGCCAATCTTCCTCTATTTTGTATGTGGGTCGCTGCCATAACATGGCCACTGACGAGTGGTGTAGGTCTGCACCTGGGAACTGAACCCAGGCCACTGAAGCAGAGCACACTGAACTTAACCACTAGGCCACGGGGCCAGCCCCATACAGTCTTTTGAGTCAAAAGGAAAAGCCCATGGAGAAGGAGAGACTAAGGAAGGAGGGAAAGAGAGAGAGTTATTGAAGTATAATGGTGCACAAGGCTGGAGGGAAGTGAGGCCTCTGTCCGGCATCATCTTGTATGCCTTGTCAATGAATTGGGACCTCTTTTTTGAACAATGGTAAAGTCTCTTAACGTTTTAGAGTAAGATAATATTGAGGTCAAATCTTTATTCTCTGGGTCACAGAAAGTTAGCAGTAGTCTGTACTATAACTGTTTTCCTCCCAACTCCAAATTTAGCATTCCTTCTTTGATGATACATTTCCTCCCCCTGAATTAATTCTTATTTTAAATATATACTATATGATTTCACACTTAAATTAAACAAAATGTAATTGCTAACTATATTTATAAGTCAGTTTGGGTTCTAATTGCCTAATAAATAGCTGTTAACCATCCTTATGTAAAGGAATTACTCGATTTTTTTCTTCGATGAAGATTAACCCTGAGCTAACATCTGCTGCCAATCCTCATCTTTTTCCTGAGGAAGATTGGCCCTGAGCTAGCATCCATGCCCATCTTCCTCTCATATGTGGGACACCTACCACAACATGGCTTGATAAGCGGTGCATAGGTCCACACCCGGGATCTGAACCGGGGAACCCCTGGTCGCCGAAGTGGAACCTGCAAACTTAACTGCTGCACCACTGGGCTGGCCTCAAGGAATAATAGGAAAGCACATTATATCTAAGGGGACAATGTCATCTTACTAAACCTGACTGAGAAAAGCATATCATTACTATCTCCTTCCACCTTAATTTTCATTTCAGAAAATCTTCGAAGGCTAGTAGATGAAATATTCTACAAAGTTATTCTTTATTAGGAACTCTTATTTCAGAAGAGTGACCAAGATAAGGGAGTTAATGTGGTTTTATATTTCGGACTAGTTTATGCCATTTGTAGTTAACAAACCCAAGCAGGAATTTACCCAAGTTGCTCTGAGGATGAACTTTAAGTTTGATGTCCTTTATTTTGATTAATCTCCATGTATTCACCCTGAAAATTGTACGTTTTCATACTTTAGTCTTCCTCCTTTTTGATTTCTCTGGAATATTTTTGCTAATACTATCCCCTTCGTCCTCTTGCAGTGCTTCATTTCACTCTCCAAGATTCTCATGTATCTCTAACAACTTCTGTCCGTTTCACTGTTTTGTTTTGTTTTTTTAAACCTTAAATGTTCTCCATGGTTCTATTCTCAGTCTTCTCTTCCTTCTCTGCACTCTAAGTGGCCTCATCTACTCCAGTAGTCTTCGTGATTTCCTCTGTTACTTGTGCATAGATGATGCCAGTTATCTCTGAAGACTGAATCTCTGTTTTAAGTTCTTGACTTTTGTTTCTAATTGCCTGTAAAAATCTTAACTTTGAGCTTAGTGTATCCAGAATAAACCTCCTCTTACATCTACTTCTTATCCAGTTTTCATATTTCCATTAATGGTACCAGTACCCTCTCAGAGACACCTTAGTGTGAGCATCATCATCTTTGATTATTATGTCTTTTTTCATCTGCCACATCCAATCAGTTGCCTGGTCTTGTTCATTTTACCTTGGCAGTCTCTCTTGAATACATTCTTCCCTTTAATTTCCTTTGCCACCACTCTAGGACAGGCCCCTACTGCAATAACCACCTAATTGATTTTGTAGTCCTTTGTCTCTGTGTCAGTTAGCTTTTGATGCGTAATAAATTACTTCAAAAGTTAGTGGCTTAAAACAATGACCATTTGAGGTCAAGTTGCTTAGCTTATCTAGAATGGCCTTGCTCACATATCTGGCAGTTGGCAGCCTGTTGGCTGGGTCTCCTCCCTTCTGCATGTAGCCTTTTATTCTGCAGCAGGTTATCTCACTCTCATTCACATACGTAGTAGTCTCAGACTTCCAAGTGCAGCAAGAGTAGGCAAGCCCCAATAAACAAGTGTTTTCTAAGTTTCTGCTTGGATCCCATTTGCACCTGATCAAGCCTCTACTCAAGGATGGAGAAAAAGATTGAGCTTCCTAATCAGGGGAACTGCAAAATCACATTACAAAGGGATAGGAAGAATTTGTAACACATCACATTTCTTTCTCTCTTTTATCTAAAACGGCTACTAATATTTTGACAGTTCAGCTCCGATGGTTTTATCCCTCTGCTTAAAAACTCTCACTGGCACTCTTTTGCCCCTGAATGAAGTAGAAGAACAGAAGCGATCTGCCTCACTTCATCTTTCTAGCTTTATTTTTCTCTGCTCCCCTATCTCTCCTCACATTGGATTAGTTTCTGAATTGGTCGACCTGGCCTTTAAGGACCAGCCCATATGCCACCACTCTCATGAATCCTTCCTAGATTTTCCTCCCCTCACTTCCACATGCGCTTCTCTCTGCCCTGTAAGTTGAAGTGGTCTCTCCTTCCTCAGTTTTCTCATAGCTCTTTGCACCTTTCTGGTGGTAGTTGTGATTATTTGCCCTTGTTATAATTGTCTGTATGTGACTCACCTCCCTTACCAAACAGAACTTTTTAAGGGCTGGAACCCAAACTGTTAATTTTCATAGCTACTCATGTGTAATATTTGGAACACTGCCTTTCATCTAGCCACCAGAATATTTTAATGAATTTTTGAATGATGAATATTTCTCACAAAGTTATTATAATGTAAATTTTTGAATGTCAGTTCATTTTAAAATTTTTCTTTCAGACCAGAAACTAGAGAGCAGTACCCAAATAAATTTATCCAACGAGATGACACTGAAAGATTTTACATTCTGAACACACTGTTCAACCTACCAGGTAGACTCATTCTATGCTTGCATATACTGATGCTTTCCCTTCTTTCCATGATCATTTGTCTTTGCTCAAGGGAGATAATGAAATAAGTTTGAATTATCTCACTTATAGCTTATGAATATCTATTCTTCATTTTTCAGAGACCTACCTGTTGGCCTGCCTAGTAGATTTTTTTACTAATTGTCCCAGATACACCAGGTATGTATATACTATAATTTTCTTTTTCCAATTGATTTTTTTAAATTAACGTGCAGGGTTTTAGAGAACTGGCCATTGTAGGTCTTTTCTGCTTTTCTGAAGTGAATTTAGTGCTAGTGAGAGATGCAACATTGCCAGCCTGAGAGATGGGACAGCACCAGCAGCTCCATGCAGGCTCTCACCTCCCACACGGCCCCTCTCCTTGCCAGTGTGCTGCAGCCATGTTTGGAAGGGACCACTTCTGATTGGCTTCTCCTGGGAATGAAGACGGCCAGCAGAGGTGCTAATTGTGACAACTGAGTGGGAGGTTTGTGTGATGATTATCTGTCCAAGCAGAATTACACTAAAACCCCCCAACTCATTTCACAGCAGCTACCCAGGAGCCATTCAGGGATGGTAATTTAGTTTTATTCCCAGGCCCAGCAAGATTTGACTTGAAGAATAAAATAAGTACTGTTTATCTCCCTGAAGTAAAATTTTGCTTAAGTCTTCAACAAGTTATCCTCTCCTTTTTAGGGGGAATTGTATGCTGAAAGTTTAGCCATATGTGCCAGTTTGCTAACTTCTCATCCTCAGTAGGCGTTATCCACTTCAAGGCACTAAATTTGGTGGAGCATTAAGTCACTAAGCTAAATAGAAAATAGGCAATACCTTTGTACCTACAGACAACATTAGAAAAGTCAGGGTGGAGAGAACCTAAATTACCTATTTTAAGTTTTAAATGTTTCTTTGATGGGAACCTGTTTCTTAAAAGTGATGAATAAAAGAACCTGATATGTTTGGAACTGGCCTTTTAGCTTCCATTCAGTATATTCTTCTCTCACTTTGTATTTATTCACAATTATTGTATTCCATTGAACACTGTAGTCATTTCTGGTGGTCAAAATGGATTTTCATTAGGGAATAACTATTTTCCTAATTAGCCACAGCCTTTATCCATGTGATAATGGAAACTTTGGGTCCCCTGGGCAATGTTTGATATTCATTTTATTTACCCTCTTTTGGATTCCCTGTCATGTTCTTTCCATCTTTCTGTAGCTGTGAAACAGGATTTAAAGATGGGGACCTCTTCATGTCTTACCGGAGTATGTTTCAGGATGTAAGAGATGCTGTTGACTGGGTTCATTACAAGGTACCTAGGAGCTGCTTCTTCATCTGCTCATTCTCTGGCATGCGTTTTATGCTCTGTCATTAACCTTCCAAGTGCAAATAGAGCAGATTTTTTCCCTCTGTTTAAAGAAAAAGGAGTTGCCCCCTCTAGTGATAGCTCTCTAGAATACTTTCCTTCTTGTCCTTGGCTGTTGTGCTTTCAGAGGTAATGCTGATCTTTCCTCAAGGGTGGTGCTTGACTTGTAGCTCTTATTTCTGTTTGCATTTCCCAAACTTACTTAGAAGAGATTTAGTGTTAAGATTATGCTTACCATATGTTTTGAGGATGATTATGGTCCATTTGCTTTTTCCAAAGGCCTCCACTTGATTAATAACAATTAATATTATATTTACTATAGATTGTACTCAATAAAATATGAATGCCTTTTGATTTCTAATTTAAAACAAAAATAGTTTTATATTTTGAATACATTTTGAAGGCAGAGTTGCAACAAATCATACATGTTGCTTTATTCTGGCCTTCTCTAGTTTATCCACTTTTCCATTTTGGCAAATACTTAAGAAATGCATTTGAGTTGATAATAGACATAATTTTTCTTATAAACTGTTAAAAACTGATTTTTTTTCTTTTCTTATTTCCTGTTTTTCTTCCCCTAGGGCTCTCTTAAGGAAAAGACACTCGAAAATCTTGAGAAGTATGTAGTCAAAGATGTAAGTAATAAAGGGGAAAATAGCCCTGCATGATAGCTTATTTTACCTATCAGGGAAATGAATAACAAGCCTATTTATAATGAAGTGCACAAGAGAAGATATTTCTTTGTCTTAGCATAATATGTGCCAAGTATAATCACCAAGAGTTTCAGCCAGAGCGTAAGTTTTAGTACGGTTTTTCCTGTTTGTTAACAGGCAAGAAGACCTAGTATTTCATTTCTCTTTTTAGCTCTAGTTGTAATAATAGCAGCTAGAGTGGATACTGTGTGCACAAATCACTGTGCTAATTACATGCATTATCCCATTTAATCTCCTGTGTAACTTGAGTTAGGTATTGTTGCCTCTGCTTTATAGATGAGGAAACTGAGGAATAGAGAGATTAAATGACTTGCCTAGGTTCATGCGCTTAGTAAATAGTAAAGCCAAGAGCCATATCTAAATGTAACCCAAATCATGATCACAGCGCTAGGTCATCTAAAAAATGAACATATATGTGACTGTTATTTAAACTGTCTTTAACCTGTCAACAGGGAATAATGAGGAAAGCTTTAAAATACCATAAAAGATATTAGTGGAAAACCTAATAAAATTTTTAAAAGTCTGTAGTTTAGTTAATAGAATTGTTCCAATGTTAATTTCTTTATTTTTATAATTTTACTGTGGTTATGTACGATTAATATGTTAATATTAAGGGAAGCTGGATGACGAACATATGGGAACCCTCTGTACTATTTTCAGAACTTTTCTGTAAGTCTGAAATTATTTCAAAATAAAAAGTAAACACACACACACACAGAACCCTAAGATGAGATACTTGTTCCTTTTCTTACAGAGTAAAAGTAGCAGAATGCAATATTTTCTCAAAGTTCTTTGGTAAAGATTTCATATTTTTTTCAGTCTCTCCTGTTTCCCCTCCATGCCCACCCCCATCCTTGTTGTTTCAAGAAGGAGCACTGAGGGGTTCAGGAGTGGTCCAGGAGAATTTGCGTGAAGGAATCAATTTACTGTGAGAGAAGGGAAGGCTTTTTTTTTTCTGGTTGCATCAGGAATTAGAATTTCCTTATGTGTCTGCAGGTGGGTCTGGGCATTTCTAGGTTTCATCCTGCACAGGTCATTTCATTCTACAAGGTGTTTTATAAAACAAAAATATGCACAATGAGGCCATATCTAATACTCTCCATATAGAGTGTTTTGTGGGTGATGTTTAAAAGAAGCCTCTCCTGATGTCTAACATACCTAATTCACATGCTTTAAGAGATTACAAGGTAATTTAAACTCTTTCCTGAGGCAGACATAGTGAGGAAGGTAGAGATTTTTTTAATAAGCATATAGTCGTTTATATATATATATAAATATGAATCTGTATATTAAATATACCATGTATACTACATATGTTAATTATGTAATTCATGCATAGTGATAGTGCCATCTTTTAAATGCAAAATTCTGAAACAAACCAACCCACCCTTAAAAGACATCCCCTATTCCTATTTCAGTGGACAAAAGTCCAGCATATGACTACTCCACATTGTAAACGAAAATATATTTGTGTTTTAGTGTTTTGCTCATAATCATATTACATTTCAGGGAAAACTGCCTTTGCTTCTGAGCCGGATGAAAGAAGTAGGGAAAGTGTTTCTTGCCACCAACAGCGACTATAAATATACAGATGTAAGTGCTTAATATTCATATTTTTTTGTTTATACGGAGGAATTATTTTGGCCTAAATAACTATGAAGATAATGAGGAGGAGAGTAGCTTATTAAATAAGGGTAGTTTTTGGTGATTTCCTTTTGAAAGAAGAGTGAATAAAGCAAAAATATATGAGATAAGGGCTACAGCAGAGTGGTTCTCAAGTTTTTCTAAATATTTCTTTTGACTGTTTTCCCTGATTGCAATTGGCTACTTCAAAGTTTTAATTTTGTGGTTAAAACATTTGTGCTTATTAAATTGGCTTCTGTGTCTCTTCGGTGCATCATTTATATAAACTTGAGCAGCCACATCGTGTCTTGCACGTGTACATGCCCTCACTGCTGTTGGGCACCAGATAGCAATAGATGGTACAAAGATTCTTTGACTCTTAGCCATCAGAATTTACTACCTCTTGACTTAAACTTTTTTTGTCATGATGAAAGCATGTAGAAAAGCTAATTTTAACTCCTTAACCTCATTTTCCTTTTGAAGCTCATCTTCCTCTTGCTGAGACAGTTACGAGTTTCTCAGGACTCCTCAATCTTCTTTATGTAAAATGTTGATTTAGAAATCTGGTGATTTGGAGTAATCAGTCTTACAAAGCCAGTGGTGCATTTGCTTGGTCGGTCTAGGGACAGTAGTAAGAAGGCCAAGCTATGTTAATTCCATGTAAGTCATTAGTTTTCTCTATGCCCTTACCTCTGATGCCCCTTACCTCCAAATATGTGTTCCAGTCCACTAGGAGAACTGGATAGGGGGACACGGATGAATCTGTACACAGTTATCTCCTAGAAGAAGCTTACATCCTGCTGAGAATGTCAGAAGTTTTTGTTTGTTTGTTATAATGAAACATTAATTTCTGGCTTCCACTGTCATGGTTTTATAAATTTTAGAGGAGCGATGAATCCTATATTGAAAAAGATATGTCTTATAAAAATCTTGTGCGTGATTTTTTTTTTTAGGTGTTATGTATCTTTTGCAGAAGTAGTATATGGATCTTATTATGTTGGATCTTTTTTTTCCAGAAAATTATGACTTACCTGTTTGATTTTCCACATGGCCCCAAGGTACTCTATGAAACTTAATAGACCATTACTTTAGTAATAATGAATGCATTTACTCTTCCTGGAATATGGAGGGTAAGGACTTGGTCAGGACCCATCCAGAAATCTTCATTAACATTAGAAATAATACAAGAACTAGTATAATTTAATGTCACTAGCAGCTTGAAAACTTAGTAGACAGAAATGAGAGATTCATGTGGTATTTAGTAGGATGGGATCAGAATATTTTATGCCCAAGAAATTCTATGCAGAATTGTTAAGTTTGTGTGATAATGAAAGGAATTTTCAGGTTGAGGAACATATCTGATTAAAAGAAACAGAGAATATGTATACGTCTTTGACACCTTCTAGATTCTGCTGTTAGTTATTGCTGAGTTTTGTGCCATGAGAACAGTTAACCTTGATATTTAGTAGAGAAGTCTTCATTCCTGCAGTATGGCTACACTTAGATTTAAGGAATACTCATTGCAACATAGTGACATACTTGTGGAATTTTAGTCCTAGGCTTCTTTGAATAGATGTCAGTAAATCCCTGTTTTGAGATCACCCAAAAGCACAGTATGCAGTGCTCTTCAGCTTGACCTTAAAAGGTGAATGCCATGGTTCCATTTCAGGATGGAGATACTGTTAGTGGGCATAACTTCTGCATTAGTGCTGTGATTAGCCTGCATGTGAGTCAAAGGCCAGTGTGTACCTAGAGCCATCATTCTGAGAATATAACCAGTAAAATTTCCTACTAATAGTTCCATGTTACTTTGTATACTTCACTCCTGATGCTGATCTGCCTCTTTCTTAATCTGTCTCTTCAGTATTGATTTGCATCTCTCCTTCGCCCCTTTGAGCCTCTTTTAGCCCATTTCAGAGTGTGAGCACACTTTCTTTCATATGTTAAATTGCTGTGAAATAAGTTAATAAGTAGTAGATGAAGTGATTTAAAATGTAGATTATTAGTCATTATTTACACTTTTTCCTTCCCTTCTAAAAGCATGTAGCTTTATAATAAGACACAATATGTTTTTAATAAACTGGTAGGATCTTCTGGTTATGCCTCATATTTCTAAATACCTTGAGGAGATTAAATAAATAGTGCCTTAAGATTAGGAGTGATGTTTTGGCTTTTGCTGATTCTCCTTCATCAGCCTGGGAGCTCCCATCGACCATGGCAGTCCTACTTTGACCTGATCTTGGTGGATGCACGGAAACCACTCTTTTTTGGAGAAGGCACTGTACTGCGTCAGGTGGATACTGTAAGTCGAGAGGATGATCTGTCTGCTGGCACATTGTCCTTCATGTTTCCCCTTTCCCCACTTCTACCTTCCCTAAGGACACAGGTATTTTTTTTAACGTATTACCATATATCTCTTGAAATTAAGGGTTTTGGTCTTAATTGAGATAGTCGAATAATTCAGAAGAATATAACTCAAGTGCCGCTCTTTTCTCTACCTAGCCAAGTAGCATTTTGGGTGGAGATTGTGATAGAATGATAAAGTATTACAAAGTTTGTATTCTCTTCTCACAGAAAACTGGCAAGCTGAAAATTGGTACCTACACAGGCCCCTTACAGCATGGCATAGTCTACTCAGGAGGTGAGTCACAGACTTCTCCACTTAGTCTAAGTCTTTGCTCAGACCTCATTTTGAAAGCCTTGGTGTCCTTCTGGCATACTGCCACATATATGCTTTAGTATTCTAAAGATATCATCTACTGAAGGTAAATACTTCAGTCACCTACTAATGCAATAGGAGTCACGGCGAATGGGTTTGAGAAGTTGTTAGTATGTCCTAATGAATCTTTGATTTTCACTAAAAGGATTGGTTTTCCCCATCCTTCTTTTACCTATTTGAGGCTATTTCTCAGTGTCCTGGAATCATTTGTGGTGGTTCTCAAGAGATTTTCAAGGAGCCCCTATGGACACAGACACATATTTTGTTGGCGTGAGAAACAGTTGAATAAAGCCAACTTAATGGCAGATCTGTAATGAAAAATGGTGGTGGTACTTTTGAGGGTTATATTCACTAAAGCTGAGATGTAGTTTTGTTGCTCTTGGATTTGGTGATCAAGAGCTCTGATCAGGACAGTGAAGCTGAAGGCCTTGGCTTAGAGGCAATAAAAAGAATGATGAAAAAAAGACAATGGTGGGTCTCTGTCTTTAAGAAAGGTGAGCCCTTTTTCTAGTCTGTTCCTCACATAATTTTAAGAATAAAATTAATGAGCACAGTATTTAATGGTTATGGTACTTGGAGCACTGGTTTTGATTATGGAGACATTTTTGTTTTCTCGTTGTTCATTCCACTGTTTCAGGTTCATCTGATACAATCTGTGATCTGTTGGGAGCCAAGGGCAAGGACATTCTGTATATTGGAGATCACATTTTTGGGGACATTCTAAAATCAAAGAAACGACAAGGGTGGCGAACTTTCTTGGTCATTCCTGAACTTGCACAGGAGCTGCATGTCTGGACTGATAAGAGTTGTAAGCAGCCATTACTCTTATTTTATAAATCTTTGACATAGTCAGTTTGTATCTAAATGGCCAGTTGTGAATTAATTCTCTTTGAAGAACCATCACTTTGTATGCAGGGGGTCAGAGGTGGTCAAAACCATGAGACCTGATATTTGGATACCTCCTTACCATCTAGCTGGAACTCCAGAATTTGAAGAAATATGGAGGTTATCTTGTTCAGCCTTATTCTTGAATCCCATCAAGGTTAAGTATAGAAGGTTACTGTCCCGAGTTATATTACAGTAGCAACTAAACTATGAATGCCACTTTCCTCTGTAGCCCCATATTTGTCCAACCACGCCTGCGAGTTCCAGTCTCTGTGCTACCAGCCCCCTGTCTATGATTCTGGGCCATTGATGGCTCTGAGTGTTAATCGCCTCCTGGTAGTTTTTATTTGCTCTTCTGAGAAGTAGAGAATGAGGCCAAATTGCATTCTCTGAACTGAGCTGGACTGAATTGAGCTGTGGATCTAGTTGTGCAAAGATATGTGACACACAAGTTCTCCAACCCATCCTTTGCTAGCTTGTATCACCTGCAGTGTGGTGAAAGGTACTGCCTCCGGAAGCTCGGCCTGCCTCAGGTGGTTACCCTGGCTCCACCACTTAGTGTCTTCATGTCCTTAGGCAAGTGCTAAGACATCCTGGGCCGTAGTTTCCTCAAATGTAAAAATGAAGATAATAATACCTACTTCATAAAGCTGATGAGACTTAACTGAAGTAATATGTGTATAAAGAAAATAGAAGAAATAACCCTTCTCAACCAAGGCTTCTCATCTGAACCACAGAACACAGAACATGATTTGAATGACTCTTAGTTCTCCCAAAGATGGTAGATAAGAAAATTTGTTACATACAATGGATGCATTAGGGCTTAATTCTCTTTGGGGAACCCAGGTTGAGAAAGACTGGAACACATGGAAAGCATGCAACAGATGCTGGCTGTTGCTATTGTTTGTACTTGTCTGTGGGATTTTCAGATAAGCTTTCATCCACTTATTCAACTTTCCATGTATGAAATTTTAGAAATCTAGGTGATTTGGCTCTACTTCTTAGACTTGTGACTCTGGACAGGTCACCTAATTCTCATTCTTTCATCTGAAAATCGAATTTTTAACACTTGCTTTGCTGATACACCTAAGATGGGGTTTGAATTGGCACTTTGTAAGCCTAGAATCAGCATCCATTTGGAAGGGAGCATTGTAATCAGTGGTGTTTAGTAGGGGAAAGGCAGTTAAGAGGAGATTGCGTTCATCTGCCGCCAGACTCGAAGCAGGTATCGGTGGGTTTTCCTGAAGAGGGAAGAGGAAGTCATTTTATACACTCACCTTAGCTTTACTTCTCAGTCATATCTGCAACCTTTTACTTTAGTTTCAGGAGCCATTAAAAATTGGATGCTTTTTATTTGATTTATTTAAAATATTTTCCTTTTCCTTCCAAACCTTAACTAGCCCTTTTCGAAGAACTTCAGAGCTTGGATGTTTTCTTGGCTGAACTCTACAAGTAAGTTTCCTGATTCTAGAAATTTCTTCCCTAAAAACTATCTACCTCTTCAGGAATCAACCTAGGGGTAAGAGATGTCCTTCATTTGATTTTTCTTTTGTCTCCAGGCACCTTGACAGCAGCAGCAATGAGCGCCCAGACATTAGCTCCATCCAGAGACGTATTAAGGTATCCAAATGGGATTTGGGAGAAAACTTGGAAAATAAATTAAGTTTAAGTGATTTTCGTATTTCTGATTTTATATGGGGACTGGCACGTAGCCACTGCTCAATAAATATTTTGTGAATGAACTGAGACTCAATCTTGTTCTTTGTTTTAGAAAGTAACTCATGACATGGACATGTGCTATGGGATGATGGGAAGCCTGTTTCGCAGTGGCTCCCGGCAGACCCTCTTTGCCAGTCAGGTGATGCGTTATGCTGATCTCTATGCAGCATCTTTCATCAATCTGCTGTATTACCCATTCAGCTACCTCTTCAGAGCTGCCCACGTCTTGGTGAGTTAATACAGCCTTAAGCTACCATTTATAATTAAGATACACCCTTTTTTTTTTTTTTTTTGAGGAAGATTAGCCCTGAGCTAACTACTGCCAATCCTCCTCTTTTTGCTGAGGAAGACTGGTCCTGAGCTAACATCCATGCCCATCTTCCTCTGCTTTATATGTGGGATGCCTACCACAGCATGGCTTTTGCCAAGTGGTGCTATGTCCGCACCTGGGACCTGCACTGGCAAACCCTGGGCCGCCGAGAAGCGGAACGTGCGAACTTAACTGCTGCGCCACTGGGCCGGCCCCTAAGATGCACTCTTAAGGCTGAGATCTGCAGCCAGCTTTGTGGGATGGCACAGGAGAGTTTAGATCATTTCTTTCTAATGTGCAAAACATGGTTGCACGAAAAGGGGTCTTTGAGAAAGTATGATCAAGATAGAATGTCACAGAGTATAACTTGACTCTCTGAAGTCTACTCTATCGATAATGTTATTTGAGTGGCAAAGACTTTCCTCTTTGTTAGTACTAATGGAGACAAATGTGGGTTTTATATTTCTGTGTTCTGATACTAATCTATGTTTAGGGCTGATTTTTGCTGTGAAATAGAAAAAAGAATCTCTTCTCTCCCATCTTACCAGTTTCAGGCTATAGTAAACCATCTGGGCGGAGTTTTGAAGATTGGGAAGAGAGAAGATAGGCAGCTTGTAGGTAGTTCCAGGAAGATACTTCAGTATCTAAATTGGCTTGGCCTTGGTCCGTTACAGACATCCCTCTGCAACGCCACCTAACAGAGGGAGAGGGGTTAGGATTTGAGAAACAGCTGTTTTGCTCCGTCTGCTTTCTGAACTTCTGATTTTGTTCTAGATGCCTCATGAATCAACGGTGGAGCACATACACGTAGATATCAATGAGATGGAGTCCCCCCTTGCCACCCGGAACCGCACATCAGTGGATTTCAAAGACACCGACTACAAGCGGCACCAGTTGACACGGTCAATTAGTGAGATTAAACCTCCCAACCTCTTCCCACTGGCCCCCCAGGAAATTACACACTGCCATGATGAAGATGATGATGAGGAGGAGGAGGAGGAAGAGGAGGAGGAAGAATAAGGAGGAAAACCAAAACTCTGAGCGCCCATTAAACAAGTTCACGGGACTCTCAGGAGCAAAGGATGTTCTTCTGTGGGTTCTCGTTGGGGGGGAGCTCCATCAAAGGTATATCTGGAAAGGTTCTGAAGACTTTAAATATTCTAATCATAGGGACATACTTGTATTAGTTTTGTGTGTCTGCACTCTTTGCAGATGGTTCAAAATAGTAATGGAGTCTGTATTGGAAGTGAGGGTAAACCCAGGCTGAACTGCATGCAGATGGCTCCATCGTGGCTTGTGACACTGTTTCCTTGTCTTATTTCATCATCATTATGTTGTAGTGTATCTCGATACACTAAGGGTGGTGAAGGGTCTCAGAGTAAAGCAAGGAGGACGATGGGAAGAGGTCATCCAAAAACACTGTTATGTCACAAATTGTGCTCTTACTCCAAAATTCATCTTTTTCAGTGCATTACACAGTATTGTATATCCGTGGCGAAATATATTGTTTCCATTATTAAATGTAGTCTTCTGTTAAGGTCCAGGTTCCTTTTACAAGCCTTTAAGTGTCCTCAGTAATTCTGGTAAGGCTGCTGTCTGTCAGTGGCTTTGCAGAAGTGTTCTCTACTTGCTGTAGGGCTGGTCTAAAATGGACTGCAACAATTTCATTTTGAGGTAGAAGTCTTCATCCTTTTCTACAGTTTTTTGATTAATAGCGAAAATGTTTATGTTATCCAAACACATAATCTTTTTTTCATCTGGGATAAATCCAAAGGCAGAATTTAGCTGAAAGAGGACAAAGGAGCAAGCCCCCCCCCCCCCCAAAAAGAAAAAGGGGAACCTTCTTCTATTACAGCATAATGAGTAAAATTCATTAGTAGGGACTATGTTGTGTTGCTCATGCCAACCCATTCCAGCCTTCTCTATCCTGTAGGGTTGACTGCTGTATTTCAGAGTGAGCATTAGAGGGTAGGAAGAGGGCTCTGTAAGCCAGAACCTTTCTATGAAGCAGAGGGCACAATCCATGTGAATAAATTCACTTCAGAATCCCAAGTGAAACCACTTCTTGTCGTTTTGAGCAAGAATGGATCATTACTGTATACTTTAGGGTATTACCAGTACAGTGAAAGTTGTTAAAACATTTTTAACAGTGGTGTACACTCTTACTTTAAACTTCATAGATTTCTTCATTCTTATTGTTATTGGTCAACACAGGAGGGTAGATTAGCTGCTCTAGAATTCAATAAAGTATAATATTTATAATACTGATTTTGACCCCTTCCTGTAGCACAACTGTAATAACTATTGGTCTTCAAGTGGGTTTGGGTTTGACTTAGTGACATCGATTTGACACTCTCTTAAAGGAAATATAGTCCAGCATGATTAATTAATGGTTAAATTTATAGCACTTAAATAGGCCTCAATTTTTTCATGGAAAGTTTTGGTACAGGACTGTGTGGTGAGGCTTTTTTAAAAAAATCACTTTATAGGAAGGAAAGACAGAAACTTAGCCAAGGCCATGCTACCTCATCACTTTCAATATATAGGGCTTGACATTTAGTCAAGAAACATACTTTGTAACTGGATCTGTCTTTTAGGAATATATGCTACTTTAAAAGTATCAGGTTAGAAACGCTATTGTTAATAGCAGTTAGATGCTGTCCCTGCTTTAAATTTTAGAGAATGTGTTTAAGAATAATTAATAGCTGGGGTGACCACATTCAAGATGGAGATGTTGCCCAGTTTGACGTGGTCTTAAGTTTTCTCAAAGTGAGATGATATCTAAGTGACTTATTACAGCTACAGAGCTAACTGACAATAGTATATTTACATATTTTCCCTTTTATAGCAAGGACCAACATGATCACTTTGCTTTAATTTACTACTAGTTTTGTATTGTTACCTACATAAGATCTTATCTGTGTAAGAGTTTCTTTTTAGCCAGATGTCTCTCTGGCAGTGGGTCCACAGATTGAGAAGTGGAAAGCACACATTTGGAATAAGTAACAATTCCACTGCTGGTCACAGCTTTCTTCAGAACCACCAAAATGTTTTAAAGAGGTAGGGTTCCATAAGAGTCTAAGACCCAGAGCAGAGCAGAGCTTCTCTGTATGCTATTCCTGTTAGAAGAACATGCTGGGGAGTAAGTGCTCCATGGGCAGGCACTCGGCGCAGCTGCAGTTGGGCTTGTTGAAAGATGAATGTGAGTTTCTCTCTGTTGCCAATAGTTAAGGAAGCTGAACTTAAAATGTATTTTAATGTATCCTTTTTTTTTTTTAAACCTGAGGCGTTTTAGACTGAGAAGACTCCCAACTCTTTTCAGAATTTCTTTCCTGGGTACTTGGAAAACACCACTTATTTTCAGACTGTGTAAAGCACCAGGCACCTCTTGTTGGGTGCTAGACTGAATTCCAGTCTGAGGGCATGTGTGGGCTAACAGGGACCCTGCCACACCCAGCATGTGATCAGAGGCACAGCAGTTCCTTCTGCAAGAGGACTTGCCCATACATTCGTCTATAGAGAGAGTTAGTTAAAGCTCAGGTGGTGTATTTCAGAAAAGTTGCTTAAAGCCAAGAGAGTTTAGTGTGCTGTTTAGACCTTAGGTTTTCTCCTACCGTAAGCATAGCTCTGCTGAGACCTAAAATAAGAAAGCAGGCCCTTCAAGCTGCCCCTTCTAAATAGAATAACTTAGAGCTACAAATCCTTCAGTCATGTATTGTTTTTGAGCAACCACTTTAAAGCCACTTGCAGTTACATGTCAGATTTAAAAGTACTTTGTCCATGTTTAGATATTTCTAAAGCAGATTTATTTAAGAAATATTTTGTCAACAACTTTAAAGCCCTGCAGTTTTTCCAAGGCTTCCAGAGCATTTAAAAATACTCTGCTTATTCACCACAAATAGCCTGAGACAAACAACTGCATATTTAAGTCTGCATTAAGGGTAGGAGCCTTGTCCACATTCCATGTTATGGAAACTATTTAACCTTTCTTTGATGGTGGGAAAAATGGTAACTATGATCTAGCTATTGCCGTGCAGTTATGGGCCCAGTTGCTCACTTGGTTTAGTAGTTCACATATCAGTCCTTAGGTTTCTCATGACATTCTTTCTTGGTGACTAGAGCATCAAGCTGTTCTTAAAGTTTTTCCCCAAATGGAACAGTTTCAAATAATACACAACTTTGGGAGGCCCTGAGAATGAGATCTCTACCATGGAGCTACCTGAGCAGCCTGGAAGACAGAAGAAAAATGGGGCACTAAAGAACAGGAGGACATGCACGTGCACAGCAGCCAGGAAGGAAGCAGGGCCAGGGGACTCCAGGAACCCACACTGTCCCATCCTACACTTCCACTCACAGTGAAGCAGCATCTCACACTCTTCTCACTGCTGAGTATGCAGAAATAACAGAAAGCAAGGCATCTAGAAAGAGAATGCATTTGCTTACAGAAAGAACAAGGCAGCTTTTCTCTTTAACTTGGCAATCTCAATCATTTTTCCCTGTCCTCAGACTCAGTGTCTTCATCCCAAGGCCACAACAGTCTGACTTTTTCCAACAAAGGTATGTAATTTCAAAAATGAAATATATACAGTAGTTTAAGTCCCTCTGAAGAGCTTTAACACAAAAAAGTACTCCCAGTTGAACATAGAGCATTTCATCTCAAGCTTGCTAACTGTTATTGCAAGTCTAAGTAATCTGTATTTTCCAATTTAAAACAAAATGACCAGTTTTTAGTCTGGTCCTTTTATGTTTCCTCCCACAATGTAAGATACCTTTGCTCTATTTTATTACCAGAAAAAAGGTGGATTAGACAGATTGCTTCATGAATCAAATTAGGTACAAATTTGTCTCCCATGCTCTGCCCTCCCATTGAGCTCTTCCTAAAGCGATGTCTGCCCAGGGCTTCAGAGGAGGCCTGAAGAGTCTGGGCCAAGATAAACTTCACCACGCACACTGGAGCCCGAGCAGCTGGGTGCACGTTCTTCTCATGAAGGACGGCAGCAGTCCTTCAAGGTCTCACAAGTGCCTGAGATACTTGAAAACAGGATTTGCCAAGCAAACCTTCCCAACACTGAAAAATGGTTATTAAATGTCCAGTCTTTTTTGAGAGACGGTTCTCACCGGAGGTAATCTTTGACTGTGGGTGTGGGTATTTTGAAGCAAGTAACTTCATTTTTGGACCCACTGCCCTCAAGTCAATGATGTAGCGGAATTGTGGTAGGGAGGCTGCTCAGTCTAAAAATCCCTGTCATGTGTTGGCCTGTTCGAGCGCTTCCCAATCACTAATTCCTTTGGAGGGAAAGCACTTTGACAAAAAATTCTGGCAGCTGATTCCTCAATCATCCACCAGGGGAGATGGCATTGCCACCAGAATGTCACAGACAAAGGGCCCTATAGCCATTCCTTTGTTCTGCAACTTTCTGAAAGAGCACAGATGTGAGGATCTTGGAGGGAAAATGATGAAACAATCATACAAAGAAGGCAAAAGAGTTTATTAGCCATCTAATATAATTCAACTTTTTGGCTTTAATAAGGAATCAGCTCTTTATTAAATTGAATTACCTTCAAAACGCATAAAATAAGTTTTCAGAAATCAACTCTAGGTCATTCAGTTTGCACCAGTCACTTTCTCTACAAGACCCTCTGATCACACTCTGTCCTCGGAAGTGCTGCGTTGAGAAGAGGTGCTGGGGAGCACAATTTGTGATAGGAAATAGAAACCCCAGAGCTTTTTCCATAATAGAGCTTAGAAATGAGCCAACACTTGGGCACCCCATGGATGCAGAGGGCAAGTTAAAATTGCCTCTATTTTCCTTGGAGAATTTCCCAATTTGAGCTCAGGACTCATCTAGACAAACTGAGTAAGTAGGAAAAACTAAGCAAAGCAGGCAGCTGGGAGAGGATGTGCTGGAGGAGGAATTCCTTCCCCAGTTCTGCTGCTGCTCTCTGTTCTGCTTCTCAGGAAAGGTAGCAGGCTCCCGAGAAGGCGACACTTCACTGGAGCGTAGAGCTACCATGTTCTACTTTTCAAGAAATTGGGGATAATGACTGGGGAGGTGGGAGTGGTGGTTAGATCAGACAGCGGCTCAAAGCCAATCTTGTCAGCAATTCTTCACTGAAGTGCCTCCATCTGCAGGACAAGGATGAGTAAAGTAGACCACAGACGTCATGGTTAAACATTACAGTGGGGAAAATAATGGATCAGTCACCAAGAGGTTCAATTCTCAGAGCATGAGCCTCTCTGGAATGTAAAATAGAGATTAAGTGTAGAGGAAAAAAGGATTCCAAAAAGATGTGATCTAGGAATGGATCACAGAGGGGCCTTGAACCTCAAGGGGAAGGTGTTTAGGATCTGGTCACATGAGTGAGGAGGGTAAAAAGGGATAGCAGACTTGAAGTGACGGGAGAGGATGTGGGCCAGACACACTGGATTACAGGAGATGTGAGCTGCCCACTGAATCCCGAGGAACAACTGCACTTGACTCACCACACTCCAGCCCGGTGTTTCAACTTGAGGGTGAACCATCTGTGCCTGCTGCAACCTTTCTCCTAGGCTTCACCTAGCAGAGGACCTACAGAGCCATTCTCATCTTCAAGAGCCAATAGAAAGGCTTGAATAAGGCCTTTGGTCTTGCCCAGGAAAAAAAAAACAGCTTAGATATGTGCTCAGCTGAACTGTGTCGTATTACTGTCTGAGCAGCAAATGTCTAGGGTAATCTGAGTGGATACTTCAGTGTCCTTATCTAAAATGAACTCATGGAGGACAGGCTACAATCCTTGCAAAGCAGGACACCCCCTCGAATTGGCGGTACCAGGCTATGAGCTGGAGGCAGAGTTCTGGCACCCAGTTCTCTTCTGACATAAGACTGTGGTGTACGTCCAAAGGAAATGCCCTGACGTGTTGCCATGCTGACAACTAATCCCAGCTTTCCCACCAGTAAAGCCATGCAGTTGGGCAGGGGACCGAGGTTGGTGTTGCAGAGATGAAAGGGGAAAGAGGGAACACACATCCGCTAGAAGGGTGAACAGAAAAATCATCATTTATCTAAATAGAATAATAGAAATGAACAAAAACCGTTTAAAACAATCACAAAATTTACAAATAAATTGGTACAAAATAAATAGGAGAGATTGTAAATCTACAACATCATTTGAATTATAAAATGCATTCATTATGACAATCAGCTCATGAAACCTATACATGTCATTTGTGCTTATTTAGGTTTATGTACACAGCTCTGAATACTGTGTTCAGAAAACTTCACTGCAGAAAAGCATGAAATGTACACTATGATACAGTGAATAAAGGCTGAGGAGGATGAGAATCAGACACAAAGCAGGGTCTTATTTGAAGGCCAAGGCAATGTTGGCATTGGGCCTCAAAACCAAGAAAAGGCATATTAGAAGCCCAGATGGGCAGGCAGCCTCCATGGCCCAGAGAGATGGATTCTGCGATCCAAGGTGGGAATAAAGAGGCCATCACTGTTGTAGCGCCAGGCCACTGACCTGGTTTGAGAGGGCAGGAGTGAGGAAGGAGGCTCTGGTCTCTCAGCCATGCTGTTCCACTACACAGAATGGACCCAGTCACCAGGAAACCACCTCGAAAGTATTTCACGGAGGTACTTGAGAGGCCCTGCCACAAGATAGGAGACCTGCCTCCATCCTCATCCCAGACACTGGTCATCAGGAACAGAGGTGGGCCCAATAACGGGCCAGGGATGCGAGGACCAACCTAAGAGCAGCAACCTGCTTAAAACAAAACAGCAAAACCACTGTCCTCTCACCCACTTGGAGACAACAGAACCCTAGGCTCCATGGATGAGGGGCTCCAGAACAGATCTCGTCTTACTCACAGACGATGTACTAACAGTAGAGGCATATGTACATAATAAATAATAATATAAAATAAAGCATATACATTTGTGGATTTAAAGGACTCCAGAAACAAGAAAAGTCAATGAACTGATACACTTCACCTACAGAGTAGACTTCAGACACGGGGAGTAATGAATCTGAAACTAGGCTGGGGCTCTCTGGGGAACGAGAGTCCTCAGGCCTTATTCTCCCCCAGTCCCTTCTGCTCTGGGAGCCTGAGACCAGCCATTTATACCCAAGGGGCCTGGGCCTCTAACAAAAGGGGCAGGCACCCAAGCTCCACAAGGTACATTTGATAGTGCTCTCCAGGGTTAATCTGAAGAGGAAGCTGGCCCCCAAAAAATAACTTCCCAAGGGAATCCATGTTGGTCTGTGGGCGAATGCCAGAAGATACTTTGCCGAATGAGGCAAAGCAATACTCCCAGTCATTCTTCCAATTTGTTCACATTTAACACCCGGTGGGTATTAAAACTCAAGAAAGTTTTAACGTGTACTCAAGTCTTTCTTACAGTATATGTTGGATCTGTGTACATATAAACCTTGGCACACAAACTCCTAGAACTTTACTCTCTTGCCACTAGAAACTTTGTTTTCATGTTGCTTCAAGTACGGCCTGGTATTTCCCGTCAAAGATATTTAAAACAATTCTAGTGAGATGATGTCAGTGGCTCTAGCATAGACAAAGAGAAAGCTTACTTGAGCTGAGCCAACCACAAAGATCTAAGAAGCGAAGAAGGTCCCCAGCTCAAGATGGTGGGAGGAAAGCTCCTGCAAGCTCTGCAGCTGACAGAACTGCGTCGCCTCCTCTTGTCCTTAGGGCTGACCAGGGGCTCTGGAATTTTCAGACAGGGCAGAAGGAAAATCAGGACATAAGCATTCACTGCAGGAAGAAGGCCTGCAAATGGCAGAGGAAGGCGTCCCCCTGTCACAGCCTGGGGGAATGGTAAAATCAGCAAGCTTGGCATGGGTGCCCCACTCACCCTCAAGTGGAGGCAAATGAACATCATCTTGGAATTCTCTGAACTCATCTCGCCTATCAGCCCACGCGAATACAAAAGAAGAATGAAAAGATAAAGATTTGCAAATGGCCCTGAGGTATAAAAATCCACTGAGTAGGTTGCTCATTGATAAATTTACATCGGAAACATTTCTGAATCCCCAAATCGCCTTCATATTGAACTCTCCAAATCCCTCCTAATTCTGGGTTAACCTGTAACTCACCCAGACACTCTTGCTGGACAGAAGCACCACTGACTAGCCCACCATCCAGAACAGAATCAAACCTGATCCGGGACAAGAGGCTGTATCCTCAGTAAGAAAGTGAGCACAGGTGCCACAGAAGCCTCAACACCCTAACCCGCCAGCTCAGCTTTGGAGTTCTCCTCAAACTCCTGCAAGAAAACCCTGTCTCTGGGGTCGGAACCGAGAGGGGAGCTGTGCCTGCTGCCCATGCCACCAGGAAGCATGCGTCGTGTGATGGCACCAAGCCAACCCTCCCTGGCAGCCTCTTGCCTGGAATCCCAGGGAACAAGGTGAGCACCTCCTGCGCCAGCCCAGATGAGTCCTCAGCCTGGGATCACCCCTGGAGAACACTGAGGAACCCTGGTCTCTGGGCCCAGGAGAGGCAAAGATGGCCACGGATCCCTGGTTTGTTTTCAGAAGATGATGGGGTTTTGTTTTTGTTTTTGACCAGCTAGGACACAGGCTCAACCAGCCAAGGCCTACTTAGGTCTGTTCCTCAACATGAGAGAATCTGAGGGCAGAAGTTCACAGTCCCTGCTTAGCCTCCATGCCTGTTGCTTTATTTTCTAGGGAATGCAGCTCTACCTGTACCTACCACTATTTTCCTAGAGTGGTAAAAGCAGTCCTTTAGTCGTACGGCGCTGGGGATAGCACAGGTAAATATATTCACAGTTAATGTTCTGTTTTAGTGTGAAGTTTTGCATACAATGCTTGCACAAAAGTTCTTGAACTAAGATCAGAAAATGGCAAGATGCCATACTCGCTCCCGCTTGAGGAAGCCAACCATATCAGCAGGGGCATGGAGCTCTTTTCCAGAAGTGAGGTGAGGAGGGAGGGAAGAAGAGAGGTAAATGGGGTGTGCTTTCAAATTCAAATTATGTAAGAGCCAAAGCTTAAGCTAGTTAATTAGCACCCCAATATCCATGTGGAAATCTTAAAGTTCTGTTTTCCTAAGAGTTTAAATATATGACTTGCCTGATGAATACAGAACAGAGAGAAATAAAGGGAGACGACCTCCAAGGAAGCAGGAAAAAAGCCCCTCTCCTGCATTAAGAGAAAGCAGACGATCCTGGGGACATCTGGCTGCCAGGGGTCCGGTCTGAGATGGAACCCGAGAGATGCCAGAGTGGCTGCTTAGGAGCAGGAGGAGGCCCGGTCCGGTCCCACAGAGCTGGGGCTAGAGAGGCCACCACAGAGGAGTGAGGCCCTGGGTCTGACAACAAGGGCTCCATAAGAATTCAGGACCCCAGGACCTGTGTCTGCTCCACAGCCACGCCCCTCCCTGCTTACCAAGCCAGGAGTCCTCAGGGAGGACAGCCCACCAGCGGTGCTAAGAATTGGCCACTGCATATCGAGGTCTCAACCATTTGATGGACTTTCTCTGCCTGACTCCCATTTACTTATAGACATGAACTGCATAGACCTTCAAAGGGAAAATCATTCTGCTGCTGCCCCAGAGAAGCCTCGAGCCAGCGCTTCTCCTTTAACAGCCTGGAGTTAGTTTCCACAGGGAAATGGGGCCGGAAGAGGAACATGGTCATTCAGACACTGAGTGTTATTTGAAGGGTCTTGAGCTTTCCCCAAAGCAGATGTAACTATAGCCAAATGTTAGCCTTCATTCCTCCAGGGACCAGAGAGGAATTGTTTTAGATTCCCTGTTGTTGTAAAATAGTGTGAATAATCAAACGTAAAGAGTGGTTTATAGAAAATAAACTTGGGAGGCTAAAATTTCATCCTTTGGGAGCCCCACTGCAAAGCCACCCCTGCCATCTCCTTTACAGAGAGGACTTTTCAAAAAGCCACCACACTGAGAGATAAGGCAGTACTGAGAAGTTACCTGTTCCTCCCCGACGTCAGAGGGACAGCAGCTGGAATCGCTCCCCACTCCCCCCGCTCTCACAGAGCTCTAGGATTCCCGAAGGAACAGTGGGGCTCTGAGAAAGATTCCATACATTAATTCCAATTCCAGAGGCTTCTTGCAGGAGCAAAGCACCCCGAAACAAACTGTATGTGGAGAAGTAGATCAGCCAGGAGAGGCGGATGGGTCGAGGCCCCTGAAGGCCAGACGAACCGCTCCCCGAGGCCACAGGGAAGGCAAGTGCTGTCTGGGTCAAGAGTGCGGCGTGGTTGTTGGGGGAGAAGCCCCTCCCCCCACCAGGCCCAGGTTTCACCTCGTTTCTGGAAACTCATTTCTGCGCACCCTACAGATAGTCCCAGTTCCCACATCACACTGGGGTTGTGCTCAGCTGGATGCATCTTAAGAAATGGAGACCTTTCAACTTAGATGGATCTGTTTCTAAAAGGGGATACTCACGGCGCAGGGTGCCACCAACGTCAAGTTACACAGTAGGGCTGCATCCCATGGCGGCAGGTTGGATGCCAGCAGCAGGCCACTGAGCCCCCTTAAAGGGCACCTCCCTGCCTCTCTACCAGGGGAGGCCAGCACTTCCCTCACTAAGGGGCCTGACCCTTTCTGAGGAAGACACTCCAGGACTGACATACCAGAGGAAATACTGCGCCAAGCATGCATACGACACTGGTGCCAGCAAACTGTTCACCAGGAGGCAAGCCCAGCACACTGCTGGTTATTCCCGAACCACAGGTCCCACGCCCACAAAGCCCAGCCCGGGGTGCACATTTCCACCTTGAGGAGAGAGGAGAAAACTGCCGCTCAGCCCCAGGGCTTCCCTCTGTTCAGCGAGACCCAATGGAGAAGATGCTCTCTTCTTAGCTAGGGACTGGGTGCAGTGTGGACTGACAATGCTATATGAAAACGGTGGTCAGTATAAAGTCATTTCAGTGTACGAACGTTGCCAACAAAATGCACATATCCCTTGGGCTAACACTTAACACACAAATAAGATAGTTAAGAATTCAGTCACTCAAGAAGTATCTCCTGACATTAATTTCACTACATGTGATGAATTTGGTATTAAAATAAGACAGAGACACACATGAAATGGCCACGACACACATTTGGTTTCTGAATCCCTGTTTGGGGCCAAACTGACCCTGGCTGTACAGGCAGCCTCTCTGGCGTGGGCCGTATCTGAGGCGGGAGGCACGGAGGTCCTCGGGCGGGGGACACAGCCACTGCTGGGCCCCACAGGCCCAGGGACAGAGGGGAAGAGGGACAGTTGGCTCCCTGGAAGGAGGGGTGGGGCCGACAGTCCCCAGAGTTCCCTCCTTTGAATACATGGGTCTAGAAATGCCTTCTGGGCATGGAGCACAGAGCACAGCTGGAAGGTCCAAATCCTTTCCTGACAATTCCTTCCATCCCGGTGGGAAGCGGAGCTTGACCTTCACACCACGTGTTTACTCAAAAGCCCTGTGGAAGATTTCCATTTGGCATCCGTGTAGCAGCATCTTGGGTTAACAAGAGCAAGGATGGGGAGGTGGGTGACGACGCTCTGTAGGCTGGGGCACTGGGTCGGGGAGGAGGCCCGGCTGAGCCGAAGACCCCAGGCTGTAGGAATGTCAGGATGAAGTCAACTCGCCTCTTGCCAATGATAAACCGTGGGTTTAAAATTCATTAACATTCATTTTGGAGATAAAAATTCCTTAGAGTGGGAGCAAAAATCACATTCCAAGCAAATATTAAACCTTTCTAAGGGAAAGGGGCACAGTTAAACACTAACTTAAAACGACACTGAGCTCAGAGGCAACCGCAGGTCCCTGTGCAGACTCCACCCCGCAGAGCCGCCAGACGGCAGGTCTGCGGCGTCACGGCTCTCTTCATTCATCCTTGAAGTTCGACAGCGACACCCACTGGGGCACAGAGGATGGGTACCCCACCCTGGGAGGGCCAACAAAGGCCGCCGGAGGGGCAGGTCCATCCTATGAGGGTCACATCATGGGGTCACAGCAGAGTTCAGACAGAACCATTTAAAACTCTGCAAAAGACACTTTTTAAAAACATGATCTCTCGAAAAAAAAAAATAAATTGCAATAATTTTCAACTTCATGCAAATCGAGGAAGGAGGAGAGTGAGCAATGATAAAAGGTACAGCTGAAAAAATAAACATGATTCTATTTGGGTGGAAGAAGTTCACCACCAAGATCTTGAACGCCACGCCCTAGCTGTCGATTTCACATCTCTAGTTTCCATCCTCCCCCTCTCCATCCTCCTCTGCTGCTTCCAGGAAGGGGACAAAGTCTTTGGTCTCAGGATGTTGCAGGATGCAGCATGGCACACAAGCTCACACTAATGGGATTCATGGTCAGATGGAGGCGCAGGCCGAGCAGCCCGGCCGGGGCCTCGGGGGTGGGAAGGTGCGGGCCGGCGGGGCGCCCCTAGATGGCGCCCTCGTTGTGCAGGCTGTGATTGGCCTTGGCGTGCGTCACACAGTTCTGCTCATTGAGCAGGTTGGCCGTCTCGTCTGGCAACCCATCGTGCAGCTCCGTAAGAGTCAATTCAATTTTAGTGTTTTCACTGTCTGAAGACTGAGGAGTTTTGTCCATCCGGGATGCCATCAAGGCATTTTGGTATTGCTGTCTTGAGATCTGGGGCCAGGAGATGGCACAGAAAACAAACCAAGATAAGGCTTATTTTTAGCTTCTCTCCTCTAGACATCATATTACACATTAAATCCTTTGAAAGGCCCCTAGGAGTCTCTCTAGGAGAAAAACCTTGAGTTCAAAAACTGAGCCACTTTTTAAAGTTCAAGATGACTCTGGCGAACAAGTCAGTTTTTACTGATATAAGCCATTTCCAAATTTTGTCTCAAAATTTCACAGAGACTAGAAAATGGAGATAGGCTTCCATCAGCTAAAGCTGGTTCATTCTCCAAAACATGCCTTTACTTCAGACTAAGAAAAGAACCCTGTCTCCAGGGTAGGAAATAAGTGAAGGTTGTTCCCACCCCATCTGGGCGAGTGTTCTGAGTCTCCGACCTCAGCCGTGTCGGGGCCAGAGTCACTAGCACCGTGAGCTCATGAAAACTCGCTGAAATAGATCTACTCTTTTTCTCACCATCTGCAGCTCTCATTCCCTGAAGAGCAGACATCTGATCTGGCAGCCCATCTCACAGAGCCAAGCAGATCGATGTTTTTCCCAGCCTGAGTCCTGGGCACAGGAACTGGAGGCAGGACATCCCCACGTGGCAAGGGAAAGCTCAGCGGAGGGGCTGGGGAGCCGAACAACGACTTGCTGTGGAAGTTGACCTCTAGCGGCCAGGTTCAGCCAAGCCCCTCTCTCCTCTTACCTTAACAAACTGCAGATCAGAAAGGGCTCGCACTGAGTAATCTGGGACGTAGACTTGGAGGAATGAAGAATTGAGCTGGTTATTGCTGCTCCCCAGCGTCGGTGTCATTGCGTCAATCCGGTCACTTCGACTGAGAGAGTCTGAGTGATTCAAGCCACATGGGCGAGGAGGTGACTTGTTTTCACCTGGAAAAGGAGGAAAAAAGCCCAACAACCTTTTAAGTGAGGTAGATATAACCAATCAAGTCAGCTCTTTATTTTCCAAATAATGAAAAAGTAGTTATTAATCGACAAGCTCCATCAACGTGTACCAGAGGTCTCAGCCATACGGCTCAGCACGCAGGGCCTCCTACAGCCCTCTCACTGGCCTCTCGTCAGTGACGGGTTCCTTTTAGTCAGCTGCTGGCCCTGTTCACATGAACAGACACAACCTTTCCCAAGGCCCCGACAGTAAAACCCTGTGGTGTACACCTGCGTCCGGAGCATCGCCAGGCGCTGTGAAACACACAGACCAGGGGAGGCAAGGCCCAGGACGCAGAAGCTACTTGACACAACACACTGGGCTATGAGAAGGCGGCGCTTCATTATTCTGCCAGAAGCAAAAGCAAAGGACTCTTGAGAACGTTCATAAATCAGTATACATCTTAAAGGGATCAAAATAGTTCTGTCTGCTCATACCATACCCCCAGCCAAACCTATTATCTTTGTTTCTGATCCCCAAAAAATCCCCCTGTCGGGCAGCCTGAGGATGTCTCAGGATTTCAAGAACCCTAGAAGACACCACACCCTTGAAAGGTTTGGGTAAGTTCTCTCAGGTGCTGGGGGATTGCTCAGTGAGACTGACAGTACTCTTTCATTACAACAAAGTCCAAGCAAATTCAGGTGAGTCTAAGTGTTGCTGCTCTTAAAGGCAAGTTCACTGTAGCTTCTAACAAATTTTATTTAAAATATTTTTTTATTTAAAAAAAAATCCAGATTTGCTTTTCTAATCAAATCGAATGCACAAATATTAACCAGGTGCCCATACTGGACAGGCCCTGAATTGCATAATGTCACAGGATGGGAGGGGACCAATTCTCCCACGTGATGGTTGAGTCCTCTTTGCAATGTGTCCCTGACAGATAGTCCCACAGACGAGCTGGCCCTTGGCTGGTCCCAACCTTCAGTTATTGGAAAGTCTATCATCACGCCCAACAAACTCTTACTTCTCAACTTACAATGACAGTCTCCCCTCCACTATGCAGCTCTGAGTAACTTTCATTCCTGTGCTACTTGAAATAGCCTCAAAAGTCTGAAGATAGTTCTGTTCTCCTGACGTCTCTTTCTCCAGGCTACATACTTCAACTGTTCTTCACCTCACATGTGTTGCCCCCCCAACCCCATCCTGACCCCGATCTGAGATTCCATTCAGTGAACGTCCCTCTTCAGTTATGACACCCAGAACAAAACAGGGCAAGTATTCAAGGAAACTCAGATGACGAGTTCACTTTCTCCTAAATTTTTCTCTACAATTTTTGTGTCATGAACCAATGGTGTCCAGCACTAGGCACAACAGAACTCAGAGTAGCAGCTCCTCTTGTTGCTTCCACTTATCTTCAAAGAGAACAAGGCAAACTAATAATTTATCAGATGTTTTCTATTGTGCAGAACAGCACTCTGATCAGATGACCCAACCTTGTTAAGCTTCAGATTCCTTTCCATAAAGGGCAGAAAATAATTGTACCTACCTCACAGGATCTGAGGAGGATCCCAAACCAACGTATACAGTGCTTATGTATACAGCACAGCCTCTGACAGCCAATGAGCACGCAATAAACGAGCCTTATTAACATGACACTCTTTCCTGTTCGCTTCATCCCAGCCCGCTCCACCACACCCACCCTCACGACCAAGCCTTCCCACCCCGGGGAGAACTTCACCCCGCTGTCAGAGCCAACAGTTCTTTGAAACAAGGGATCCCACTGTACCCCGGGCTTCAGCCCCAAATCCCATCACCATTTCTACAGACGCCTTCGAAAGGGTGTTTCCTTCAGTGTGTTAAAATTTAAAGGTTATAAAAACAAAACATTTACAGAGGACTTTGTTTATGGATCGGACCCTGTGCATTAATTAGCAGGCAGAGTTGAGCCCTGACGTAGCACTTCTGAGTCTCCTGTTCTTTTTGCCCGAGCTGGACTCTCTGGTCTCCCACGGTATCTAGACCTGCAGACAGCTTCCTCTCAACCCACCATCATCTGTTTTCGTGAGATGGGCCGTCTCCCTTGCCAGGAGCCCACTGCCCAGCGTCATGGCCACGGTCTGGGAAGCGGGCCCCGTCCTCCAGGACCCTGCCTTCTGCAGCTCGACAGGTCCCCAGCACGATCACCGTGCAGCGAGGCGCAGGAGTAACCACACCAGGGACGATAAAGTTTAAGCGGCCACCCCCCAGCTCACATCATGTTTTGTGGCCAAATTTATGTGTCAGAATTTTAAGACAATAATTATGAAAAAAGCTTCCAATTTTAATTCTTCTCTGCCTTCTCAGAATTGTTTTCTTTCTACTTTTTGTCTCGTTTTATTCATCCTACCTAGGAATCCTTTCTTTTTGCTAGGATGTCAGAAAGATATGATAAAGAAACATTCACAGCCTCCTCCCTCGGAATCGCAAGGCACCATTTGGAATTTATTTGGTATCATATTATTGTAATGCCATCCCTGAAGGCCTGGGCCCACAAAATGGATTTTCCTATTACTGGCTGGCATGGAGCAGGAAGAGCTAAGAAATCTCTAAGTTCTATAGAAAAAATAAAATGCAAATGACATTTCCATGAGCTTCATCCAAAAGTCACTCTACTTTAGCATCTGTGACATTTTAAATAGATAGCAGATGCCAGCAAATAAAATGGGGAGAAAAAAGCACAAACATATATACATATACATAAATACATATTTATGTGCATCTATATGTATGTGTGTACATATGTGTCTGAATGTATATATGTATACTCTGCCAGCTGGTTTGATTCAAATAGCCCTATGAATAATATCTTACCCCTAAGTACCCCAAACTTTTTAAGATCAAAGATTTGAGAGAACATTAGCTTCTTTCTAAGATAAGGAATGCCTCCTTTACCAAATATTAGCATTTCAGAGTTTTGCTGAGATTGGATTATGAAACGCAGATTTCATCAGTCAGATTTTTAAAATATAAGCTGTATGGAACAAAAACACAGAAAAGTTGTGCTACCAAACAGGATAGCCCAGCAACTTTAATTAAAGAAAGATTAAACCTTTGCCTTTCTTTTCAGCAGCTGGACGTATCAGCCAGGCATGACCAAACTCTCCTGCAGAGCACCGACCAGCAGCTGGTTAGGAATGTGCACGGTACTAATTTCAAAACAAAGAGAGGGACACAGGAGAAGTGGGGCCACCTGCCTGACAGAGAGCAGAAATACACGCAGCCCGTTCACATGGATGCTGGAAAAAGGACCAAAGAAACAGGAATGTGCGGGCCTCTGCAAATGGGCTTCTTTTCTTATTTACCGACACAGTTCACAGTCCTTCGGGCCTTTGGCTGACTATGTTCTGGAGAGCATCCTCAGGATTTGAGGCCCTTGAGGCCTCTGCAAACTCCACACCATGACTTTGCTGAGGTCAGAGAAGAACCAAAAGTAGCCCCCTTTGCTGCCCTGAAAATCCAAGGTCAGCAGTGCAGAGGGCACGGGGGCCTGGGGAGGACACCAGGGGACACTGATGATCCGTGTCAGAACCATTCTCCCTTTCCGTGTTTCATCCTTTCATGTTCCAAGATGCCCTTCCAGTCTCCCAAACCCGTCCGCCTCTGTTGTGGGCTGATATTCTCCTGGATAGCTCGCTATTCAGCCATAGAAACGTGGAGTTTTAGAGCTCAAAGAAACACTGAAAATGGCCTTGACCAAATAAAGGGAGCAGGCCTGGCAGCCAGGCTTTTGTGGGGTGAAGGGAGGCAATCAGGAGAATGACGAAAAGGAAGCATGCAGAATTACCTGGAGAACCTGCTGCTAACAACTCTGTTCTGCTGACAACAAAGGTACGAGACAGGGACAAAGGAACTGAAAAATGGAGAAAAACAGGGTGAGACCATATCAAAAGGCAAGAAAGGAGATCTCTGCAATCTGGGGATGGCAGGGGATAGCCGTTCTACCAATATGAGCATTCGGTTCCGGAAATGCAAAAGCCTGTATGATATTATGTAAACAAAGGAGAATACACACTGCTTTCCAGGAAGAGGACCACAGGGAGGCTGAAATCAGGAGAAATCCCATTCACGTGCTTCTTTACTAGCCTAGAAATCTCTTAAGCCGTTAATACCCAATTGGGGTTTATAGCTCAAAACATGCTCTCCTTAAGGACTTAAATCACGACAAGCCACACAAAAGGGGTGGCTCAATTCATCAACCGCCCCAAGAGCACGACCCAAGCGGCCTGTGCCAGCACCCCGATACTCACTCACCGCACAGTCTATGGAGTCCCTACCTGCGGCAAGCACATCGTTATTCAATTCATTTACCTTCTTAATTAGTCTGATTGTAATTCTGAGCTGATGCTTTCAATTGCTTTGGAATACTTTGAAATTTCAAAATAGAGAAGTAAATAAAGAACGTCACACACGGATTTCCTGGGAATGCACACCAAAGTCATCCTCGTCACTGCCCACTCAGATGGGGAGCTGCGGCTCCACCTGACTGAAAAGTCCCATCGACGCTGTCCTACTGGGCAGCAGCCAGGTTTTCTGAGCAGGTCTTGATAAATGATTACTGTAGGATTTTCTAGGCAACCTACATTAATAGATAGAAATATTGTCTTGAGATTACTGTACTAATTGCATCTCTCAATGAATATAACAAAATCTCATATCCTATTTGTAAATCAAGTGAACTACTGGGCTTTGTAATAAGGAAGATGCTGTTAATAAATTTCCTTTCCTTCCTAGCATTTCCAAATTAGGTAAGGCCACTGCAGCCCCACAGGCTTTTTATATGAAAGGCCGGCTCTTGAATTCCTTTTCCGAATGGGATTTACTCTTACGCAAATCCATAGTTCAATGTGCACTGGGTTAATATTTAGGTTTCAAGAACCAGTAATCAATAAAAACATCCAACTTACTCTTCTAGCTTTCTTTTCAAAGCCACTTTATAAATCTGGCTCTGCTAACCCAGAGCTAATGTGAGGTTGGTTGTCAAACACTTGTCACCATCTCAACACCTAACTGTTACACCAACATTTCCTCTTGTGCTTTAAAGGCTACAAAGCACTTGTGTAAGCGTCATCACATTCTATTCTTCTGACAATCACGCCAGGTAACCTTATAATATCCTGTAATAATGAGGAAGCCAAGGGCCCTTCTTAAAGTCAGGCAACCCATGTATGATGGAAGTGAGGCTGTGACCCAGGTCTTCTTGGCCTCGTTAAGAATCTCCCTGTCTCCTCCCTAGCAGTGAAAACAGAAGACACCTTCAAGTTTACAGCAGACCATTACTAATTAAGTGGGGTTAGGCAGATCCAGGTTCGCCCTGGGTGTTAGTCAGCAAGTGACGATGGGGACGCTGGCCCATGTGCCTAAAAAGGCTGCACCAGGATAGTGAAGAAGGTGCATCTGGCAGGGGAGGGTTAGAAATGGCAGAGAACTCTTGACATTTCCCTGGCTTTCTCACTGTAACATCCTTGGGCTCCTGAGACCTTGTGTGGTGCAGTAGAAGAGGACCATTCTCTCCCCTTTTGGGACTGGTTTTCAGAAATGACAGCTTTCTTTTAGGATGGGTTATTTTTAAGTTTGAGGTTTGTAGTTTTCCTAGCACAGCATGTCATTTGGTGTTCTGGCCACAAGGTGGCACTCCAGCACCTCCGTGTACCTGCTCGCCCTGTCCCAGCCTGGGTAAGGCGGCCAGCACATGCGCACGCACACTGCAAAGCCAGCGATGCAAAGAGGACCATTCAAGTCCCACCCCAGAGGCGAGCCAGGTGTCTGTGTCCACGTTCCCCCCAGGACAGACACCACTCGCTGGCACCTTCCTCAGAGCACCTCGTCAATACCCCACAGCACACCCACCCTTAGCTGACTGACTCAACTGGCCAGCTCTCTGGATACGAGCTGGTTATAGGCAATAAACATATATGTTGAAAACCTCATTCATCCTCAGGAAAATGCAAATTAAAAAACCTCCAGATAGTAAACACTTAAAAGACTCAACAATATCAAGTGGTGGATGTGGGGCAAATGGAACCGTCGTTAGCACAGGCAGGAACAGCCACCCGGGAGAACCGTTGGGCAGTAGCTACTAAAGCTGAAGAGACCATGCCGTGTGGCCCCACAATTCCATTCCTACATACATACCCAAGAGAAACGCACACACATTCACCAAAAGACACGTACAAGCGTGTTTGTTCACAGCTGCACAACGCATAGTAGCCCCAAACAGGAAACGACCCCAGTGTCCATCAGCAATGAAAAGAATAAGTGCATTGCTGTATATGCACATGATGGAACACCATACAGCAACGAGAAGACAAAGGACAAGCACACACAACAATACAGACGGACATGACAAGGACAACACTGGGCGAAAGAAGCCAGGCTCGATTTAACACATCCCGTATAATTCCATTTATATAAAAGTTCAAAAATAGGCAAAACTAGCCTACGCTTAGAAGTCAAGATAGTGGTTACTTTTGGGGGGAAGTGACTAAAAAGGGGACGGGGGGTGGTGCTATGGGGTGGGGATGTTTTGTCTCTTGATCTGGGTGCTGGTTTACACAGGAGTGTTCAGTTTGTGAAAATTCATGGAGCTACATACTTAGGATTTGCGCATTTTTTTTTGTATACAGGATATACTTCAATAAAAAGTCCAAAAAGTAAATAAATAGGGTTAGCTGGCAGGTACAGAGAGAAAGATGACAGTAGAAGGGCATTGTTTCTAAAACATAGCCCTGCCCTAAGAGGCTGAGAAGGAGACTCACCTGGAGAGGCTGTCAGGGCCATTACACCATAGTATGAAAAAGCACTGGCTTCAAACTTCATACCTTCTTTCCCAGCTTCTACTTCCACTTTCCCCTGTGAAAAGAAAAGGGGAACATTTTCAGTCCAATTACATGAATCTATTTGCATACACTATGCAAGATTTGGTCCTTCCCCAGCTTTTTGTCTAAATTCCTTTCCCAACAACCCCAAGGAAAGAAAGCCTCAGATAATCTTTCCCACTTAGACAGGAGACAGAGGAGAGGGTTAACTCATCTTAGATACGAAAACTGGATTTGGCTGGAGACACAGAGATGACAGTAAAAGGGTGATGTTTAATTTCTGTGAGCTCACTTAATATTTTCCCAACATCTTTAGTTCATGGATTCTTCCCAGTAATAATCAAAAGTCCTCCGAGTAATAAAAAAACGGTGCTCTAGCTCCCTCAGTGGGGCAAACACTGAGAAGACGCCCAGGGAAGGTCACACAAGCTGCCCCGCGGGAGCCCGAGCTGGAGCAGAGTCAAAGGTCAACATGGTCTGTGGCCATGGACCAGAGAGGACTGAGCTGGTTCCCAGGGACAGAACGCACTCTTGTCTCACTAGCACGGTGTCCTGACCAATGGGGCAGACACCTTGCAGGTCAATCCCCGGGTGTCCAGACCCCCCACAGGCACTGCAACAATGGGACTTTCTCCTCACTGTCTTGGAAAAGCACCTTGAGAAAGTTTCCTCCCATCAGGACAAAAATCCCTCTAAGGTTTTCCCTTTTCTTCCCTTTTTCTGACTTGTACACAATTTCTCCTTCATTCTTTTATCAGTTCCCCTGGGACAGACTAACTATGCCTTATCCAGCCCTATACACTTCGAATCCACCACAATCCCTTCATGGTAGGTGCTCAATATGCATTTTTTTCTGGGCTATTGAAAAACTCTGCTAAGTGAGTTGCACTTCTGGATTTCCAAACCAAGAGTCAGAAGGGCTCTTGTTCATACTACCTGTAACCGCCTCTCCAGGGAGACGTTACCTTGAGGTACATCCTTTACAGTGGGTAAACAAAAATTAAGCTACCATTTATTGAAGAGGAACTGTGCTGACAATTCACAGCGCTTTATTAATTCACTTAACGCTCACAACTCTATGAAGCGCACACAACTATCCGCCTCCTATGAATCAGGAGAGTAGGGCACAGAAAGAGTAAGTAACCCAAGAACACGCTCTTAACGAATATGCTACACTATGCCACCCACTAATGCAAACTCTATTATTTTGATCACTCCCTATATCATTCTATACGAAATTCCCAATTATGGAAGACTTTTCTCAAATCACCTCTGCAGAAAACTAACTGTTGTCTTTTAGGTTTTCCTTCACTCAATGGAAATATTGATTTTACCAAACCCCAACCAATTCTCCTGCTATATGAAAGGAACTAAAAACTCCACCCATGATATAAGATCAACCTGCAAACAAACAGGTTCTGACAACCCCGGGGATGCAGGGTCCCACGTGGGTGTGGATGCTGTGCAGCCCTGTGAGAAGACTGTCCTTCACCTCCAGGGGCACAATCCAGCAGGTAGGGGAGAGCACATGACAATCAAAGATACAAGGCAGGACGCAAAAGATCTACGCGACGAAAAGGACAATAAGAATGTAGAGAACTCAGAGGAAAATATTACTTCCTGTTCTTGTGTAAAGACAAATTTTACACAGGAAGGAAAATCTGAGGAGGAGAAGCATTTGACTGAGCCAAGAGAAGGGAACGGTGTGAAGGAGGGTCTGAGGTGGGTGGCAGCAGACTGCAGGCTCACGGGTTTGCACAGGGAAGAAGCGGGAGGCGGGTTTGGAAAAGCAGTGTGGCGAGCAGGTTAGACCACGGAGCTCCTTGAACGACAACAGGCCAACGAGGTCAGGTTCTTGAGCTGAAGATCACGGTTTCAGAAAGATAAGGTCTAGACTCACTCTAGGGTCGTAACCAAAGGAGTGGACAAAGATTGCTAGGAGAGAAGCTATGGATAAGGAATCATCATAAGTTGGTGAAATAATGAGGGAGAAAGAAGTGTAAGGGAGAGAAGGGGAGTCAATAATCACAACAAAAGTTTGCTGTGAGTGACCCGAAGGACAGAGACACCAGCTATGGAGACGGAAAAGTTGGGAAGGGGCTGGAAGGAGAGGACAAACTTCCTTTAAGAACAAGGCCTTTTGAAGAGTCCATCAAAAAGGCTGAAATGGAAGAATGCAGGTCAAGAGAAAGGTCAGAACTGGAGACGGAGATCTGCGAGCGGATGAGAGAGTCAGTGGAAAGAGAAAAGCACCGAACTGCCGCCCGCGATGGAGAGTGGAGGGAAGACGGAGACCAGCGTGGGACCGAAGGAAGAAAGAGACGGGAGCAGAAGAACCAGAGCACTGTGTCAGCAGAGAAGCCAGGGAGGGGAGAACCTCACGAACAGAGGGATGGCCAGAGAGCATCGTCACTGAGGAGGGAGTCACTGGTGGCCTTCAGGAGTATTTTCCTGAAGAAATTGGAGGGGAAGGCAGAACAGGCAGGAGAAAGCGCAGGCATGAGGTCTACAAGGAGAGAACCGGCATCAGGGTGAGGAGGGCAGCCTTGGGGTCAGATGAAGGCTGACTCGGATCAGGAATCTGGGGCACACATGAAAGCTCTGAGGCAGGAAAGTCAATGTGGAAGAGGTGGTAACTGAGGGAGCCACAGCCAAAAGCTGGCAGGAGAGAATGGATACAGGGCAGCGGAGGCCTCAGAGGAGGCCTCTCTTCCCTTAGGAGAGGAGGGAAGAGGATGATGGGTAGGCACACAATATTCAGAGATGGCGAGCAATAAGAATGAGAGTGCCTGGGCTGGCCCTGTGGTCAAGTGGTTAAGTTCCCGTGCTCCGATTCGGCGGTCCAGGGTTTTGCTGGTTCAGATCCTGGGCACGGACCTAGCACCACCCATCGGGCCATACTGAAGTGGCGTCCCACATGCCACAACTAGAAGGACACACAACTAAAATATACAACTATGTACTGGGGGGATTTTGGAAGAAGAAGGAAAAATAAAATCTTCAAAAAAAAAAAAAAAGAGAGAGAGAGTGCCTGACGGTGAATATCTTCTCAGTCACTTATCCATTTCTTCCTTGACTAATGCTTGATTTTGTATCAGATAGTTAATATGTGCGTATATACTATTTGAAAATGTCTGTCTCTGTAGCTGTAAGCTCAAAAGTGGCCACAGGACTATCTTGTAACTTGAACTTCTACGCAGAAAATCTGAAGAGGAATCAAATGCAACAGAGACTCTTAATGACTTTCATCTCTATGGATCTCCAGTTGACCTGGATCATTTGCTTCACAAGTTACAGAGCCATTTGTGTTCTATGTCCCTGCAAATAGGTGTCAGTTCACAGTTCTTTTGTGATCAACTGTCAGTACCAGCAGGGCAACCGTCAGTCCCAAACCAAGGCTGTGAATAACACCGGTCTACCTCTAGGACAGGACTGCTCCTGGGCAGTACTCATGACTCATGTTCGGAAACCTCGGCCTAGTCAACTCAAAGGCAGAGGTTCCCAGCCTCTGCTGTGCACTGGAAACACCTGGGGATTTTAAAAAAAGTACTGATGTTCGGCTCTCGCTCCCAGGCATTCTGATTTAGCTGGTATGGGGTGCAACCTGGGCATTAGGATTTTAAAAAGTTCTCCAGGTGACTCTAGCAGGCAGCCAAGTCTGGGAATCACTGCTTTAAGGCTCTGTTTGTGAACAACGGTGCTGGCTCTGGAGCCTCTGTGCACCCTGGCCTGTCAAGAGACTCCCCCAAAGTCACAGCGGCTGTGAGTCTGTGAACAAGGACAGCTGCACAAAGATTCAGAGCTCCAGACCGCGGCCACTTCGGTTGATCTCTCCTCTGGACAAGGCCCCCGGCAGGGGAGGAGCAGCTATCTTCCTTCCGGATTCTGCCTCATGAGGCTATGAGGCAGACAGGCTAGGTCGGGGGTTCCTAGATGCTTGGATTCCAAGAACTAGTGAAACGCATCTCCATCCTCAATCCTGGGGACAGAGAGAGGGTTGCCAAGTTTTTATTTCATAAAATAAATATGTTTCTTAAAAACACAGCTATCTACTGTTAGCCTTTCAGGAAAGACCAGACATTTTAAGCCCCAACATATGGATAATATGTAATATCCGAACAACAGACAGGTCTTTAAACTGAATACATAGTTTTTTACGAAAAACTCACTGCAACTGTCTTTTTCTCATTTTGCCTCAAACGGGTGAAAACGTTGTCAAGTATCAGCACTCAGAGGCACTGCGCTAGACTGATTTTACCTCATTTATAAAGCTGCCACAGTACTAGAAAAGGATCCCCGTGGTTCTTCTCATCTAACACCCTACGATTCTACAATTCCAGCAGGTCAAGCTGCCCCTCCCGCATCCCTCTCCATGGGAGTGAAGCTTCGCCGGCAGGCGAGTTTTAGCAACAGCCAGGAAACACAACTTTTATTCATTTGTGTGTGTCAATGGCTCCAAAAGTGACCATTTTCAAATAAACCTACCAGTATACAAAATTAGGGCCATCCCCATGAAGAAAGGGCTTGCCTGGCTCAAAATCAATCAGGTGTCTTCTTAGACGACGGCTTTTTCCATATAAGGAAGGTGCTACATATCAACATTTGTTTTTTTGCGACATTTGTAAATTTACTCTACTCTAGCATGTCACCAAGAAAATCGGGACGGGGGCTGGCCCCGTGGCCGAGTGGTTAAGTTCGCGCGCTCCACTACAGGCGGCCCAGTGTTTTGTTAGTTCGAATCCTGGGCGCGGACATGGCACTGCTCATCAGACCACGCTGAGGCAGCGTCCCACATGCCACAACTGGAAGAACCCACAGCGAAGAATACACAACTATGTACCGGGGGGCTTTGGGGAGAAAAAGGAAAAAATAAAATCTTTAAAAAAAAAAAAAGAAAAAGAAAATCGGGACAGGACGTCATGGACTCCCAAAGTGGGCTGGGCCTTCCTGTTGGTACACTGACCACAGAAGAAGGCCTCAGTGTTCCGAGCGAAGTTGGCTTCCCAAGTAAAGTTACCATCACAGAAGAAGAAG